TTTGGAAATATTGTTTGATATCTTCTATAATAAGGTACCGCAATATATATATATATACATATGCAGATATGCATACTTCTAATCTAGGATTTGTGGGGCTTGAGCATTGCTGGCTGTCTTGGGGGTTGGGCATCGCACAAAGCGCCACTTCCAGAGGCCTGCTTATCGCCCACCTCCTGCTACTTGCCCGGGCAGACGTAAACCGCTCCTGCCCTGGGCCCTGTGGCTGGACTCCTTTGATGCGTGCTGCTTCCTGTGGCGCGCCGGCAATACCAACCCTACAGCTCCTCGTGCAGGCGAAGGCGGACGTTCGGAAGCGCCACGAGAACGGCTCCACCGCCCTGGAGATGGGTGACCAGACCTCCGCGCGCGCCCTCCGTGCGGCGCGCGACGCCCGCAGCCGAGCCGAGGAAGCTGCGGCCGCGGCCGCGACGGCCGCAGGCGCGCGTGGGGCTGCGAAGCCGAAGGCTCGGCCGAAGAGTAGCGCTGCCCTGTTGGCCTTGCAGAATGCAGGGCGGAGCTCCAAAGGGAGTGGGCGTGGAACACGACGCTAGGGAAACAGGCTTTGGGTGTATATCTTGTTGAGGGCCAAGACACCAATGGAAGACCGCCCTTGAGCTGTAGAGCTTTTGTCCAGGTCTTTGTTCAAGGGCGTTGGACCGACTTGGATGTGCCAGCCTGCGAGACCGGGAAGTCAAGTTGAATCCGGCAGAGCGGCTGAACCATGTGGGAAGTATATTGACATGCGTGCGCACACATATATCTATATCTATATCTATATCTCTATCTCTATATCTCTATCTCTATCTCTATATCTATCTATCTATCTATTTATCTATTTAAAGGCTTACGCCTAACAGCCGGGCGCCGGCCCACTTGGGTCTGTGTAGGGCTGGGTCGGGTGCACGTTAAGCTATCGGGGGCGTACTGGGCCCTGGGTGGTGCCAAGGTGGGAAACTGGTCCGCGTCGGAGATGGGGGCCCTATATTGAGCAAGGTTAAGCTATCTGGTGCGCATCTTGGCCCTAGGTTGGGCCAAGTTGGGCCCATGTGATCTATGTTGGGCAGATCTTGGGCCCATGTTGAGCCTATGTTGAGCCTATGTCGGCCTATGTTAGGCCTATGTTGGCCTATGTTTGCCCAGGTTGGGCCTATGTTGGCCCCATGTTGGCCCTATGTTGAGCCATCTTGGAGGCTATGTTGGGCATATGTTGGGGATATGTTGGCTATCTTGGGCCTATGTTGAAGATATGTTAGGAAATGTAAGTCGTCTTCTACCCACAAAATGTCGATTAAGCCTGTCCGCCCGGCGCGCATTACCGACACCACCCTTGAAAAACACAGCATTTTTGCACTTTTCCCTTTTCCCCCCGTCGTACTTCGATATGCGCAATAAACCCTGTAAAACACAGTGTTTTTTATACCTCACACACACGATACACTGTAAATTACAGGGGCTTCAGTTGACCGGTCGTCCCCCCGTTTTGGGACCGAGGGTCGGCGGCAGCCAGGGCCAGCGTCTATAACCTTCGGTTACCACCGAAGGCCTCCGGCGAGGACACGGGCGCGTGGCCGGCGCCCGGATTTACCAGGCCACCGCCTGCAGCCGCCGAGCCCCAAGGGGAAAAGCTGGTGGCAGGGTCGTCCCAGGGACTGTTAGCCTGAGCCTTAAGCCTTAGCCTTAGCCTTAGCCGTAGCCTAGCCTTAGCGTTAGACTTAGCCTTAGCCTTAGACCTTACCTCCCCTAGCCCTCCGGAGCCCTGTTGCAGTGACGAAATCCCGATTGTCCAAGATTTTGCCATCCCACTTGATTTACATCGTGGGGGTTTGGGTGTAGAAGGGAGTTGTAGGATGTCAAAGGTGGCTCTGGGTTCCCAAGTTTGCTCAGAAAATTGCTAACCTATTTTCTTCCATTGTTGTACTCATGCCTTTCATGCGCTGAACGAGGTCCGGCCAGTGCCCGTGGTAACGTGAAAGGCTCTTGTATTTTGGGTTCCCTCGCTTTCGAAGAAACATGCCGATCCACTTGCACGGGCATTGGCCGGGGCCACGCCGCGACCAGCCCGGACACTGGCATAAACTCGGTTCGCAAAAGGTTCACAATTTTTTGAGGAAATCTGGGAACCTAAAAACAAGAGGAAATGCTAGAAAATTCTCGGAAAAGCATCCAGCCGAAAACGTAACAAAATCTAGACAAAGCCTAGAGCATTCCTAGGAAAATGCTGGAAAAGCCTTTGAAAATCCCACAAATCCAACAGAAAACGTGACAAAATCCCAACAGAAATTGTCACAAAATCTAGGAAACACGCCGCGGCCAGCCCGGGATTCGAGCCCGGGACCATTTTGGACCGTGCTTATTTTCCCGCGCGGGTAGAGAGGGTGCCCCAAGATGTAAATCAATTGGGATGGCAGATTCTTGGACAATCCAGGGCACAATCACGCCAGTTTTTCGTCAATATCACATCGCCATTTCGTCACTGCAACAAGGGTCCGGAGGGGTAGGGGAGGCCAGGTCTAAGTCTAAGTCTAAGGCTAAGGCTAGGCTAAGGCTAAGGCTTCAGGCTAAGGCTAACATCGACAGTCACGCCTCACCCCACGGTGTGGGGTCGGCGGATTTATCTATTTATCTATCTATCTATCTATCTACCTATCTATCTATCTATCTATCTATCTATAATACCCATACATATGTATATATATATATATGTCTACTTAATTTATGTGATTTATGTGTGTAAGATATTCAGATACTCCGTAGAGGGCCGGGAAGACTTCAACTCGCGGACGCAGCCTGTCCTTACTCCAAAGTATTCTTCACACCTTTTGAACGAAAACTTCAAGTCTTGCTTCTCTTACAGTGCCATAGGCCACTAAACCGGTTGTGGGGATTGCCAGCTTGAATGTGTTTACCAGCGGGTCATCTCAAGGATCTGCAAATGGTTCACGTCGAGGTCCAGTTTGCCTAGGTTTTTGGGAATTTGTTGCAACAAGAAAGGCACAGTACAATGTCCAAGCGCTTTTGCTGCATCGGCAGGTTCTCAGCAAGGCAGCCACGGGCCTAGGTTGCGAGAAAAGGGCAATGAGAATGCATGAGTCCAATGACAAATGGCCATGAATCTTGACTTGACTCACTCGTTGGTCAATAGTTCGCCCGTGAGTCAATGGCCGTGAGTGGTGCCCAATGAGGGGATGACTTGCACCCTGTCAACTGGTTATACCTGGCCGTTTTCATGCGCTTTTCGATGGCAGCTTTTCGGACAATTGAGGTGCAGAGCGGCCAACACAAGGCCGGCTGGGGCGAATTTGCTATTTGGGCGAGCCGCACCTCGTTGCTTGGCCTTTCTGGTTGCCTGGGTGCTTGCCCGTGTAGCATTCTGAGATTCGCCCTGCCAAGTTGGGGGTTCGCTTGTGCGTGCGAAATTCGTTCACAGTGTCAAACACCGCAGGAATTCATGTGTCAAACCCTGTGACCCAGAAATTCATGACTTTTGGAGGTTCCAGAGAAGGCTCGCTTCGCAGCAAGTTCCGCAGGTTCCCGGAGCAGGTGTCCAAAGCTTTCGGAACAGGTTCTGGAGCAATCGTCGCAACACTTTTGTAGATATGCTGACATATGCCGTCATGTTGTCATTGTCATGGCAGAATGCTGACATGTCATCATGCTGGCATATGCTAGCATGTTGTCTGACATGTTGTCATGCCCCCATCCCCCTGTATCTGGCAACCCTTGCAGCAGTTTAGACATCTGTGGCGCGCGAGTTAGCCAAAGTGCATTTGGTTTAAGTTTAAGTAAATTTTATCTGTGGTACCTGACACATTTGGCACCCCTTTCAGCAGTTTGGAGTTGATGGTGCGCAAGTGAGCCGCCGTATCAAAGGGTACTGCCCCCAAGCCACCTTTGTTGCCTGATTGTTGCCTTCCCATATGTTTCATTTACAAACCGTAGTGCAGTGAAACTCTTTCAGACTGCTCTGATGCCCGTGTCTTTTGCTTTTTGTACTGGACTAGCATGGCCAGTGATGTCTTTTTCTCAGGCCGCTTTGAGCAAGAACTCGGTCGTAGACTTGGTGCAGATGGCGCACATCAACACGCACACTGGCCGAAAGAGGCCTCTGCGCTGCGCACAGAGCTGCCCCGCATGTGATCACAGGTCCGTGCTTGGTCACACAGGGTCCGTGGCTAACCCCATAGCAGAGTAGCTTGTTCCTAATAGCTTTCTTGTTACTACTGTACTAGTAAGGCACTTGTTACTACTAGCGTGGCACTTGTTCCTAATAGCTTCTTGTTACTACTAGATGGAAATTGTCACAGGATTTGCCCTTAGCAGAGTCTTCCAATGACCGGCTGCGTCACACTGAGAGTGTCACCTCCGTTTGATGTTCACTGCCCAACGAATGCGCAGGCCGTTGCGGTGGCTCGGCGAGGAGGCCGGCGTGGGGACGCCGGCGACCGGGGAGAGTAGTACATGTAGGACTCCTTGATGAATAAAACCCCATTTGGATCCATTTGGATGGTCAGACGTCTCCTTATGGGGGGTTGCAATGGTTAAACAGTTGACCCTCCATGAACACGTTCGAGATTAAGACCACTTGGTTTGCCTCGGCAGTTCGTCAAAGCATGGCAAGCCGCAAGCCGCGACTGGGTTTACAAAGTTCACAACCTTGGGGGCCAAACTGGTTCTCTGGACTGAGGCCTGATGCACATACCTCCCAAAAGATACAGCCTTTGTGTTTCAGTCGGCCTTCCTGAGATTTTGAAAAGAGAAGGGCCAGGCTTCGTGATGCAGCATCTCGAACACACACACACACACAAAGTGGCAAGTGGTAGAGCAAGGAAGGTGAAGCTTGACCCGAAGGACCTCCACAATAAAGTGATGCGTTGGAATCTCTTTTGATGGGGCGTCACTTTACACAGTCAGTGGATTACCTAGAAAACTTACGAGTGGCTGGGTGTTTTGCATGTACTTGTGGCGTTTTATTACTGTAAGGCTCCTCCCTGCTGGGTATGCCTTCTATGCGTACTTGCTCTAGGAAGTTCACAGTATATGGGACAAACTCACACACCATGTCAGGATTTATGCGATCCTTCAAACTTAAGACCTCATGTAGGAACCAGCAGAATCAGATCTGCCAGGTCGGAAGGCCCTAAAACCGGCAGTGACCAGACGCCAGGCCTTGATGGAGCAAGTGGAGCTGCCGAATGCCATCGGTGGAAAGGTGGCTGTGCCCTCCAGGTACCAGGCCGGTTTTTGGTGCGGGAGGGTGTGGCGGTGTGCAACTGAGAGGTAGGAGTTGGTGAGAGGGACTCAGCCAAGTGCCAAGTGTTGCAAAAACACCAACAGTAATCTGAGAGTAAGGAGTTTTTGACACCAATATACCACAGCAATTTCAGATTGTCGTGCCTTCGTGACAACGTTTTGTGTTGAGAAGCTGGCTGTGGGGGGGGCAGGTCTTCGTGGAAGGCTCTGGCTGGAAGACTATGCCCGGAAGCCTGCGAGTGCAAGCCAGCCAACATGCACAACACTTTGTCCTAGTATACACCTTATATAACACACGGTAAATGATTCAGAAGCTTGGACAGTCATTGAGTTGGCGGTGTTATCTTCTCTTGAATCAAAATTCTTTGAACATTGTTTGTGTCGCATGTTGGTGACACGATTTGGTTGTAGGGTGCAGGGTGCTTCCCATCTTGCTCTGTGACTCTGTGCCTAAAGCGCATTGTTTCGGTGCAGGTCTGTCAAGGGGAGTGGCAGCCTCAGACATGTGTTGGGTTAGACACCCAAATATTCGCCACAAGAATTCCTGACCTGTTCCCCCCCCAAAAATCTCCTGGCACCACGGGAGTGCGAAAGTTGAGCTTGTCGGGTAGAGGGGTAGGCATTGGATGATCAAGAACGAGGAGGTCAGTGAAGGGACCCAAATCGTACCGTAAGGGGTGAGAAGGCGGTCTTGGATACAGCTCAGGCGCCTTTGATTTCGCAGCGTTTCCCTTCTCCCAAGTGTCGCAGCGCTGCAACATTTCGCCATGATTTGCTAGGCCGATAGATGCCGATAGGCGGTCTCTGATGCCAGATGAGCTGCAGATCTTTTGGCGCCCACCTCTGACTTCCTCATGCCGCTTCTACACCAAGGACCTCCAACGCCCCATGGGCCTCGCCGTCGACCGCGCCGAGCCGCCGGTGCTCCAAGTCGCAGGTTGGATCCGCGGAACTCTGCTGGAGCCCGCCGACGCCGCGACCACCGGGCTGCGGCGGCAGGTGGGTGACGAGGTCGAGCGCGAAAGCCGGACGCCCGATGAAGTGGCCAGCTTCGATGCGGGTGAGGGTGGTTTGGTGAGGCCTGGTGGGGTTCAAAAGGATGGGACGGTGGTGGTGAAGGAAGGACTGGGTTCATGTTTATTCCATTCGTCATGGGTTTGTAGCATGGCTGGCGTTATCGTGTTGGCGTGTTGGTGATGTTGACCGTTGATTCATCTTCACGCCCCCAAAATGAACATGTAATCCACCAACAATCATCAAATGTTGTGTGTTTTTTGATTTATAGGGGGAGATTGAAATATCCTGTTGCGTTTTATTTCCAAAAGAGGTTTCTTGGCATTTTCTTCAGGTGGACAGGCCTGGTGACCTTGGACCCGGGCTCTCGCGTGCGCTTGACCGGGCCCAGCGACTTCCGCCTCACCTGGGGCCGCGCGCGGCGCGCGTTGGTGGGCGCGGTGTTGGCGGATGCCTCTGTGCGGCCGGGGCAATGTGAGAGCTTGAGCCATTGGTTCGAAGTCACCTGTGAGCCGCTTCGCAAGGCGCCGATCTCGGCGCCTGCGGTGGCCGCCTGGCAGATTTTTTGGCAAACGTGTTTTTGGGTGGTTCTTGTCGAGATAGAGGTGTTTTGTTGGGACCTTTTGGAGGGAGATTTGGAACTTCTCCACGACTTTTCCATTGGTTTTGTACAGCCAGGTGGAGGTCTGTGGCCCCAAAAAGGGCGCGGTGAACAGCACCTGGAGCCCTCTGCTCCGGCAGCAGCTGTGTGGACCTGAAGCGTGGTCGCTAGTTCATGCGCCCGAGGCTGCTCTGCTGGACTGGCGTATTTTTTGGGGGAGGGTGGACCAAAACTGTTTGAGAAACCTACTGTCAGTGTCTGGTGGACTCACCTTAAAAACTACCCCCCTTCAGTTGGAGCTCCGGAAAACCCCAGCAGCTCGGGTGCCTGAGGCTCCATGGGTGACCTGCCATGGTGTGCCCTGCGAAATGCCGGAGGCTTGGCGATCGCCACCGCATGGCCTGCTGGCAGGTTCGACCGGCTCGACTGACGGTTGGACCTCCAGAGGTTGACGGTTGGAGTTCGGCAGGGCTGAGGGGGGCTGAACACCATGCCATGTGCCATTCTTGAAAAGCATTTCCCAGCACCTCACAGATGTCTTCCGTTGGGTCTTCCGTGCAGGTGAAGGTCCAGTGCCAAGGCCTGTGCTCTCAATCTTGGTGCCTTGAATCAGTCTGAAGTTGGGTGCTTTGATGTGGGTGGCGTGGGCTGTGTGGGCCCCCAGCCGATGAGAATAACATGCAGGCAAAGGCAAGGGGCAGACGCCACAAAGGCATGTCCTGCAGGTTTGGCAGGCATGCCGCTGCCTAGAGAGAACCCCCGTATTTCATGTATAACATAGAACAACATGAAGTCAAACACACACACACACACGTATGTGTCTATATAATTAACACAAAACTAACCAACAACACTTACCTCCCTGGATCGCATTTATGATGTGTGATCATTTTTTACAGCTTTATACTCGGATGATTACAATGTTGGGAAGTTGGTCCTGGTCGAAAAGAAATGGTCTTGCCGGAGCTGATTGAAGTGTGAGACATGTGACTTGGTTCCCTTCTTCTTGTGCATCATCCCCTGAACCACAAGCTTATAAACACTCATCAATTTCATACTATATAGCCGGCCTTGGAACAGTTTCCAAAATGTATCGTAGTATCATGTAGTATCCAATCAAATTCGGTACAACTTCGAGGATGTACTTTTTACTAGTAGTGACAAGAAGCCATTAGAAACAAGTGCCTCGCTAGTAGTAACTTAGTAGTAACAAGTGCCTTACTAGTAGTAACAAGAAGCTATTAGAAACAATTGCGTCGCTACTAGGAGCAAGAAGCTACTAGGGGCTCCTGGCCGTACTAGTAGTAACAAGAAGCTATTTGGGGCGTATTCAAAGCCGTGCTTTTTCTCCACGCCTCAGGTGGTGATGCCAGCGGTGCCCCCAGAGGCGGGTGTCGGCTGCATGACGCCCAACTGGACGCTGGTGGCAGCTTTGGAGGAGGCCATGTACCGGGCGCTGGGTGCCCGGTATCAGTCCCTTGGCGGAATGATTGGGGAATTTTCCACCGAGCAGACCTCGCCGTTGATTCACTTCAAGACGAGCCGTGTCGCTGGTGAATCCTAGCCTCGCCCCGGCGATACCGACCGAGGCTTTTTGTGGTACCGATCTCGCAGGAAGAGCAGCTGGGGCGCCTGGACCCCGCGGCGGTGAAGTCGCTGCTGGACCGGGCCGAGGTGAGCGGTTTTTGGGGGGGATTTCCTCGCCGAGGTGAGCAGGTGACCGAACTAGTGGAACCAGTGACCAGGTGAGCATGTTTCGTTTCGCAGGTTTGGTGGTTTTGATGGGATCTTGACATCTTGGGTTGTGCCATCTACTTCTTGAAACCACTTGTAGGGAAGCTCTTTTCATTTTCGATATCTCTTGCAGGTCCAGGGCGCAGTGTACCTCTTGAGTCCCCAGCGAGTGGCCGGGGAATTCCGCACCAAGCATGACCTCGTGCACGACGTGCCGCTCTTCCAATTGATGGAGCGCTTGGAAGGTGCTGGAGTGCCCACACTGTGGCCACATCCTAGCCACCTCTACCGGACCCTGGCGGGGAAGGAGAGCGGAGTGGGAAAGAAGTTGAAGTGTTAAGCTACCGCAGAGTACTCGGAGCTCAGAATTCGCCTGCAGGGGTCTTGTTTGGATGCAACTTGATGTAACAGTCGTCTTTGGGGGGAGTGGTCACCGACTGAAAACAGATTTTGCCGACTTTAAACTTGACGCTACAGTTAGCGCCACAGCTTTCAAGCCGGCCAGAGAACTGCTGCAAGCCCTTCAGGAGTGGCCAACACATCTGTGCCTCTCCTCTCAGTACCACATTCCTTCAACCACACGAGTCTCGAGACAGGCGGTCCTTGCTAGTCCAAAGCTGGCAGCACAGGATGCCTGGCATGCACTGAAGAAGCTTATAGAAGCCCAAGGGAGAACTCCGCCTGAGCAGGTGCACGCCGCAGTAGGATCAGCTTGGCTTCAGAATATTTTTATTTTTGAACTGATTTTTAAGTCTCCGTAGTGCATGCAGGCACGTCAATGGGTTTTGGCAGTTCGTGGGTTTGGAACTTCAGAGCTGAGGTGAAAGTTGGTTACTCTTGGCGTTCGGCCGGGGTCACCTTGTGCCACGGGCTGGTGGAACTGGCCAACACTCTACTGGAGGTGGCGCGCGGCGGCGAGCACAGCTCCTTTATGGCTGATCAGCTGCAGAGAGCGAAGCAGGCCCCAGAATCGTATGTATGAAAAGAGCGAGGCCCCCCCCCCAGGCAATGACCCTGTGGAAGAAAGAATAGAGACCGAAAACGCCTTGGGGCCAGGGGGTCTCATGATTTTGTTTGGCATACCGTAATACCCATGTTTTGATGGTCCATGCCACTTCCACTGAAGGAAGGGTGTAGAACTTGGCCAGGTCACCCCCCTTCCGCCACTTGCGGATCAATTGGAGGTACTGGCTGATCCAGGTATGTTTGGGTGAGGGAGCTTGAGTCCACACACACACACATGCCGCTTAGATGTTTGGAACAAGGCTCATGTGGCCCCCCTTTTCGTTTGGGTGTGGTGAACTTGTTTTGACCCCTTATTAGTGCCGCTCAGGTATGTAGAGACATACCAAGATTTTTTCTAATCATAATATAATCTTGTGAATGGCCCGGGCTGAACAAGCAGGTCCTTGAATTGCCGAAGCTGTGAGCACCATATGTGCGTAACTTGTTGTGGCTCGCCTTCATGTGAGATAAATATTGGGTGAGAGTACCACTCCTCTGGTGACTAGTGACTAGCCCCGAGGTGCAAGAGTTGATTGATGGAATTCTTTGCGAGGCGACGCGGAGTGAGAGGGGGGTGGGAGAAGGATAATTTGGATGAATTTGGGAAGCGAGATGCCTTTTGCATTTCTGACTCAGTTAAAAGGAATGGCATGGGATCGCTGCCTAGGTCTGACCCAGTTCCCTTCGTGGGTTTGGCCCATGCCATCCAATTCCGTAGTGGTGATTCTGGGACGCTACTATGTGAAGACTTGGGGAGTGTGGACCTGTCTTTGGGAGAAATCTCCTATAGCTTATGGCTGTGAATCAAAACTGCCCAGAAGACCTGGAAGACAGGTAGGACAGACATGGAAAGACCGCTTCCCTTCTTTGTGGAGCAAATGGCCCCAGCAGCTCGGCATAAGATGCCCCGGCGCCCAGCACACTCCACAATCACCTCCGTGTGTGCACAACGTCGTTTCCGTGACGAGGCCATGGTCTACGTGTTGCACGGGCAGATGGTTGCACACCCACAGTACTACCGCTTCCCCGAGCACAAGGCTCCGCCGCAATACTTGCATCGGAAGGCAGCCAAAGAGATATTGGGTGGAGAGACAGCTTTGGCACACTGTGAGGAGGCAGGGGGTCGTGAAAGTTGTAGTTGTACCCTCCATCCAAGAAGCATTGCAGTGGACAACTGGGCAACTACCCTTCTCTTGGGGAACCTATTCGGGGCTGTTGTCCACTTCCATGATTGTTGGATGGAGGGTAGCCACGCATCCTCACATGGGTGTCCCACGATCTGTGAGAGACGCCATCTTCCTCCTCGTCGACCGCTTTCCAGTCGTCTCTTTTCATTCGATCGCATGAGCTGCTGAGAGTGTATGTTGGTGTCCAACCACACCCACCTTTTCTTCGAGCCAGGTAATGAAGAAGATCGTTGAACACTGGATCTTGTGGGCCAGCGCGCAGTGTGCGACGCCGATCCCCTTCCTCAGGATTGACTTCTTGTGGCTTTGACTTAAGCAGGGCAGAATGGGCAGAGGTGAGATCATCAGAGATCCTGCACCACATGGTGTGTCCCAAAATGCATGAGAAGCAACCTTCAAACATTTGTTTCTGCAAGCTGCTGCAAGCTAGGCAGGCTCCTTTAAAACCGTTTCTCCAAAACGCCTTCACGGCCCCCCGCTTCCCGCGGAAGCTCCGCGCTCCGATCCGAGGTTGTCCGTGGCCGCGCCGGGGTCGGCGCCGCTGGCCGTTTGGACGGGAGAAGTGAGTGAGTTGGGTGTCGCTGTGGAGCTGCAAGGTCTGCACGGCCACGAGAGCAGAGAGTTGGTCATGGATACCCTCATGGCCTCGGTGCGGGGGAATAGGGGAGCGGGGGCGGTGGATGGGGTCGGTGAAAGTGAGGTTTTTAGAGAAAGTGAGGTGGGTCATGGGAGGTTTGGGTTTGGTGGATGTGGGTGCATATTGAGCGTAGTGAGTAGTGTTGTTTCTCAGATGAGATCAAGAACTCTATGGACTTCTTCATCTAGGAATCTAGGAGTTTCATGGTTTGGGTGACAGAGGGTTGCCGTGATTTACTTTTCCCCTGCGAGGTGCTACGTGGCCATGGCCACCCACCTTCGAAGGTTGGTGATGCTGGTGGGACACATTCGTCGAAAGATTCTCTTTGAGATGCCAGCTGCTGGGAGATCAATCCTCAATCACGGCACACTAACTGGCTTAATGGGCTGTGATTCGAGGGGGTATTGAAGCACTCTGACACCTCGCATCTGCTCCGTCCGGACGCCACACCGTGTTGACGCTCGATCCTGGCGGAACCCGATCCTCGCAGCAAATGCTTTCTGGTCGCCTACTGTGCGAGGCGGGCGCGAAAGGCCAGAAAATGGCCGAGGGTGACCCATCATTGACGGCCTTGGGGCGAAAAAAGGGCATGGCAGACTCCTTTTCGCTACTAGGGGCTCCTGGCCTTACTAGTAGTAACAAGAAGCTATTAGAAACAAGTGCCTCGCTAGTAGCAACAGGTGCCTTACTAGTAGTAACAAGAAGCTACTAGGGGCTCCTGGCCTTACTACTCCTTTTCGCAGTGTAGCGTCCTGACATCGTCCAGTTCCATGGGGTTAGTTCTCTGCACTCCCTAGCGACCAGCCACCGGCCTTTAAATGAATTTCAACGCTCCGCAGCCAATTCCGCTCCATCGGTCTTGATTCAACTAAGGTGCATCACTGGAAGACTCTCTCAGGTGGCAAGGTGGAGGCACGCATGTCTTCGAGGCCCGCATGGAGGCTTGATAGGTGGATGATCGATCAGCTTGTCACATTGCCCACACCATCCAGGCAAACCACGATGTCGCACCAGTGGTCCCAAAGACTAAAACCAACTTAGAATCCGTGCTTCCGTATTATAGTGGTCACTGGGATCAACTGGGTTGGACATGTGGGTGCTGTTTTATCCCGGAGCGGTGATGCAGCATAAGGATTGCCAGGGGGTGCCGGGGCGGGCGCCGCCCTATGTCAATGGGATAGCAGTTGGAAATATATTGTGGAAATCATGAAAGGCATGGTTTGGGGTCTCCAGATGTGTTTGGGGTCTCCAGATGTGTTCAATCTAATCGCACCAGTGCTTTGACCATGATTGGGCACTGCCGTTGATGGATGCAATCATGCACCAAACCCACTGCAAATCAGGTTCATCTCAGGTGCCTTCCAGAGAGGAAGGTTGCTTCATGTGGGATGATTGTGTAGGTGCCAAGGGGGTGCCGCCTCAACCCATAAAATAACTTCCGCCTATAGGGGTATAGTCGACCTATAGGGTCGACAATGGTCTATAGGGGGCCCAGAGTACCGTAGCCCTACCGTAGCCCTACCCTCAAAACATCTCAGAACCCTGCCAGGAGCATGGCTGCAAGTACCGGGTCAACCTGGAGGCCCCGCGTCGTTTTCCGCCTTTTCCTGGGCGCCTTTCTCCGTGACTTGGACGAGGATCCAAGCAGCATGATCCAGCTGATCCATGATCTGTTCGGAGTAATCCGGCTGCGTTGGTTTCGGCACGTCCCACGTGTCCCGAATCGCCCCAACAGCTCCAAACCGTGTCAGATGACGTGGATGGACGCCTGGTCAGCGACATGGCGCATGGTCTCCAGCCCTCCGGGTCCTGCTTGCCCAGCCCAGGGGGAGAACTCATGTGGTATATTGCAGTGGTTTCAGAATAGAGCGCGAACATGAGTCCCCTTCAAAGAATCGAGTGGGAGAGCGGCCGTCTATACTATACACATCATTCTACATCCATCTACCTGAAACTGCTTGGACTTTCTAGCTTTGCCAGGCATTTTTCCTTTTCTTACCATTTCCTTTCCACCAAATGCCCTCTGCTTCGTCCAGGAGCGCACGCTGACGAACCTGACCACCGGGCAGACGGCCAGTGTACGGCCGTTGGAGGAGTCTGTTTTTTGGGTTATGGGAGCGAGAGGAATGATTGTTCAGCGGCATCGGAATCCACCGGAATCCTCCGGAATCCTCCACACCACATGAGTTTTTCGTGGGACCTCCACCTGATGTTGAGAGGACAGCGTGAATGACTTGAAGACGGCCTGGGCCCCACACCGTCTCACCGGCTTTGGGGGAAGGATTGCCTGAACCCTGACACCCACCTCGTGGCAATCATTGACGTCGAACAGCTTGTTCCAAGCCAACGTGCATTTGGGAGCATTTGGGGACCCTCTGAGAGCCCTCAGATCATGCTGCTATCTTGGCTCTGCGAATGTCCTCAGCCCCAGACTCAGCTGAGCTATATGAAAAGACGTCGTGAGAACGGTGGGTGCGACTTCGCGGGCATGGCCGGCATCGTGCCTGAGCTGCGTCATTGTGCGACCTCTCGATGAAGGTCAGGGAAATTCGGCAGAAGGTTCAGACAATCCGAACCGGCACTGGTTGGGAAACCGGCACTGGAACTTGTTCCTGCGCTCAACCTGTTCATGGAAGCATGGAAAATCGCCCAAATGGATGCCACCGTTCCTGAAGAAACGCATCCGTGAAGACATGAGTGTTCTTTTTGGTCCCATGGCTCGGAGTTGCTGATTTCTATTTTTTCACCGGCGCTTGGTGTCCGAAGCTGAGGGACATCACCTAAGAGAAGCTGTGATATAATTCCAAGCCTTGTCACTGTGTTGGTAGCTGTTGATCTCTCAATGGATGTGTATTTCAATAGAGAGACACCCAACCAATGAGTCTTGGTCCATGTTCCTGCTTCCAGGAGGTCTTGGGGAGGTCTCAATTTAATGATCACCCCTATCAGAGCAGGTAACTCCAGTCGAGTGTTTTGGGGATCGGCTGCTCATCTCAGGTGGTATGCGTCAGCGGCCGCTGGTCTGAAGACGGAAACGCATCTGCCACGGCGTTTCTTTCAAGAGGAATAATTCAACATGAACTTTGTATGAAACCTCGCCACTGATTTGCCATAAGAAGGCTTTAAAAGGATCCTCATCAGGCTTTGGGGCAGCGATTTTGGACACTCGTGTGGTGGGGTTGTTTGGATCATTTTGGATTTTGACATGGGGATTTCATGGGATGGATGGCGTCATCTGGTTCCCCACCTGCGCAGGCCTGCCGGGAGCCATGGGCCATGAAGTGTCGCAGGCCTGCATACGCAGAGGCGGGGCGAATGCGAAGCTCGGAATAATACACAATATTGCAATATTATATATATATATACACATGTTTTCTTAATTATAATATAGGTTCTGGGTGTTTAATATAGGGAGAATGAGGGGTCATTTCAAGGGGGCCTGCCCTAGTTTGCAACGTTCGACTTCTTCAACTACTGAACATGATGGAAACATGTGGGGTCGAGCTGTATGATACGAACGGCAAGTATCAAGAGTGTCTCGCAGGAGATGGGGACGAAGCAACCTCCAAGGAACCACCATTTGAACGGTGTAGCTGCAGCTCGACAACCCTTTTGTGACAGCAAGACCCTCAGAGACACCTCCGGCAAGCGGGAGACCAGCTCGTAACCCATGAAGAGCGATCGAGTTTTTCCTTTTCCTCTGACATTGGCCACGAATGGCTGCCCCCACCAACGGAACCACCAATCCAACCACCCTAACTTGGCGGCTTCTTTGTTGTCAGGGATGACCTTGGCGCCCGTGGGCTTGACGGGGCCCAGCATGCCGGCACAATGCCAGGTGCGAGGGGCAGGTTGGAGGTCATCAGCACGGAAAGGACAGAAATATGACAGTTGGAACCCAAAAGAATCTGGACAGCTAGACTCAGACTTTTTGTGGGGCATTCAGCCTGTGTTGGGAGCAGATGGCATGGCGAGGTGCTTCTTGGGGCCTCGTTGGAATCCAAAGAATCCCACACCTTCATCCGATCGTGCGCCTGGCTCACCAGCCCGTGGCTCGTCACCCGCACCTCCAATCCTCACCTCCGACAGGGCCCCATGGGGCGCTTTCCAGCTCCGACAGGTGCAGGAAGGTGCTTTGACGTTGGATGTGAAGCTGGTGGGCCCTGAGGCACCGGGTGCGCAGAAGCAGGCGCTGGAGGACGGCGCTGGTGCAACTTGAAAGGTGGCATGAATGGGACATCGGGCCAATGAAAAGGGTGGACGGACACAGGTCTCTGACTTACCCCAAGAGAGGTTGGGAGACCTGAACTGGGAACCCTAGAGTGGTACATATCGGTGGTTGGGCTATCATTAGGGCTGTTCCACCTCTTTCTCGAGGTTGGTGATTTGGACTTGCTCGTTCATCAAGCCTACCCAGCCTACTGATCGTGGACGACTGAAGCAAAACGCTGGGACCCATGGTCTTTCCGCCTGGCCAATGGGCTCGGCCTGGTTTGTGGTATTTCTTCAGTCCCGTTGCACAGACGAGGAGCTGAAGAAGCAGCATGGCGACCGCTTGGTCATCATCGACTTCACTCATCCCACTGCGGTCCGGAGACCTGATCAGAGGGCTGGCACTAGGGTGGGATTTGCTCCGAGGCACTAGGCTGGAAGTGGAAAGGCCTAGTGCCCAGGGCTGCTGCTTTTGCAGGAGCTACCCTCACTTGAGCTAGCATTACGCACTCCGATCCAATCCCCTTGTTCAGAGGATGCTGGAGGATCCAGTGCACTGCGGGGCCTGTCCCATCGAGGTGAATCCCAACTCGGAGCTGTACGCATCGGAGCCTCGACGGGGGGGGTGCGGATTGGAAGAGGGGACCTGCCAAACGAAGATTTTCATGTGGTTTTAGTGTGTTTTTGTTGCTTTGCCGCTTTGCCAGGGAACCTTTGGGCTAGGACACGCCCAAACGAGACGGTTGACTTGTAGAAGAATACTAATTAACCGTAACACAAACTGTAGTCCCAAAGTGTTCTCAACTGAGATGTCGGACCTTGCCTGGTAGAGAACTCATTTGGCGGTTGTACATGGTGCTCTTCCCACAGTGTTGATCCTTGCAGCTATTTTGATGGCTCCGTATTTGCCTTGCAAGGGGACACGAATGGCCGTTTAAGGGGGTAATTGACGGGTACAGGTGAGTTGAGTGTCCCTCACGAATGGAGTACTTGAACATACTTGAACCATTCTTGAAGATTTTTGAAGTATTGTCAGTATTGTCTAGACTAGAGATATATTCTCCCGCCGTTAACGAAGCAATGAACATGTCTGGGTATGATTGGTCTAGTTATAATTCATGGCGGTGAGGGGCTCTTACGAGAAAACCCCTCCTTAATTATAGTTTGACACACTTCCAGAGGAGCTGGACGAGGCCACCCCATGTTTTGCTCTCCCAGGCGGGCGTCAATTTCGTCTTCGGGACCACGGGCGGGGACCGGGAGAAGTTGATGAAGGTCACCGCCGATAGTGGGGTCTATGCGGTGATCGTGCCGCAGATGAAGCTGTTGCGAGCTCGCCGGTTCGGGAGCGACGGCTCGGGTCGCGGGGGGTGCTACAGGGAGTTCCCCAATGAGGAAGGAAGAGACACTGAGGTGGGAGATGAAGTGAGGTGGGTTTGTTTATCTGCCTCTGCCTATATGGGTAGTTTGACGTGAAAGGGGAGTGAGAGAGCAAACGCACTCGGACACTCAGATATGGCAACCTCGGTAGAAACTTAAGATCTTTAATCCAAACCTCCAGGGCTTCAAGGAAGGCATCCCCTTCAGGGAAGCTACGTCGCTACGTGCTTTTTTGGCGGAAATGACCTGGAAAGGAGCAATTGCACAAGCAGACTGCAGACCTTTAACTTTAACCTTTAACACAGGTGATATCCAAGCATTTAATGCTTGATGGGAGCGGTTTGAGGTTGGAGACCGTGTTTGCAGGTAGTTCCATGACACATTCTTATATAATTGTACTTGTAGAATTGGCCTGTCGCGGCAGTGTACCCAAAAAAATAGTCCCGTCGGCGATTTAACCAGAGGGGTGTTCCTTCGATGGTTTCTTGGGTCCTGGACGAATCCCTGTTCCGAATCGGTAGAACCCGGGTGTGGGTGCCCATTCTGTTGCACCTTCAAGCTTCCATATAGACTCCGCCGGCTATGTATAGAAGCCTTGAATTCATCCGAGTCAAAATGCACCCTGCGCCTGTGCGAGGGAGAAGAGGGGCATCCTCAATGGGGTCGCAGTTGTTTTCTTTGTAGGCTCTACTTGTGACCCTGCAAGAGGAACCGCGGTTTTCATATACACATCGACATGAGCAGAAGAGGATGGTCATGAAGTGCATAGGCTTCTGGCCATCCATCCCAAGGCTGATCAGCGGTGACGGGAGCTCAACGGGGCCTGTGCTAAGGCTCCGAACATGGGGAAGCAGATTGTGGCCCTGCAAGCCGCCATGGAGAGGCTGCGCTGAAGAAGTCATCCCCACAGATAGCTGAGTGATTTTGTGTCACGCAGAGGCGCTAAGAGTGGATCAACAATCCATCCACCCCATCCACTTTCCCAATCTCTTCATCCATCATTTTGGGACACGTCCGACGCAGGATGGGCCGAGACTTTCCAGGAGCCTTTGGAGGCCTGGACGGATGCTGGTGGTTTTGTTCGTGAGTTGTGTCGGATGCTGGCGGTTCAACCGTGAGCGACTGAACTGTTCTTATATAGACCTCCGAGCGGTTTGCGCCATTGGTCACACTTGTGACCATCTGCCAGGCCAAGAATCAGCACTCTCGAACCGGTTTAGCAGCACTGCTGTTTGCTACTGCCCTTGGCCAGGCTACAAACTGGAGGTCACTGAGTCTCATCAGAAGACCAAGGCCTGAACGCCGAAGGGGGTCGGTCAAACATTGACTCGCTGGTGACGAAGAGCTGACCCATCAGCCCATTATTGCCCCATGTGACGGACCCTAGACGGATGCGAAGAGGTTCTGCTCTTCCTATCGCTTCATGCATCATCCCGGCCCTGACCCAAGGCGGATACCAGTGGTACGGCGAAAGCCATGGCAGGAGCTCCAAGTGGAAGTCTCTGTAGCGTTCGTCCGAGACGACTTGGTTCAGGATCTAGCATGGCCTAGAAACATCTGCCACTTGTGACAGGCTGGCTCGCCAGCGGGTCGGGCAATAGAAGGGCCAAAGGCCATCCATCCACTGCGGCTTTGTCACCCGCAGCGTTTGTCTCCTCAAGCATTTCAATAAGCTACGTGAAGAAAGCTGCCCCACAAATGGAACGGTGTTTATGTTCACTGCCAGTTGACTGCTAGCCAGTAGAATCATTTACAGCAGATTCAGTAGATGTTTCCTTAGCTTTTTGAAATGTTGAGCAATGTTGAGCATTTAGAGGTCTAGTGAGCCAGTGAATCACGACTATCTTGGAGCTTTTTGTCCTCCAATAGGCCTGCAATGGCCTGCCCTGGCCTGCCATGGCGCAGACCCAGATGAACATTTGCAACTGATCACTTGAAGGATGCTCCACAACGATGACCTCCAAGATGATTTTGATGATGACCAGACAGGTGCAGACTCGGAGATGGCTCCTCACCTTCGCCAAAACGGTCTGACTGTGGGGGCAGGGATGGAAAGTGCGCACAGGTATATTTCGGAGGTGATTCTTAGCAAAGCTCAACAGGTCATGAGCATTCTGCCTTTCCAATCCAAGTGTAGGATAAACAGGTGCCATTGGATGAAGCACCCCAGTTAAAGGTCAAACGTCAAACACATAATCATAGCATGTTGGAAGCCACAACCACCTGATATGGATCCCAAAAGGTGACTTCAAAATCTGGAGCCACCTCCAACCTTCTGGCATCCGTCTCTGCTCGTTTCCGTTTGCGGCATCCGTCGCTGCTGGTTCCCAGGCTCTCTACCAGATGCTCTCAGACGAGACCGATGGCCTGGTCTCGCGCACGGATGACTCCATCAAGGACGGCGGAGACTGCTCCGTGCCACGCGACGTGAAACGCGGGCGGCGAAGTTCTGCGCGTTGAAACGCGGTTGAGCGCGAAGAGAGAGAAGTGGCTGTGAGGAACTCAACCTCCCTGACCAAACCATGGTAGGTTGACATCCCGAACATAGAGCAATCTGTTCATTTTCGGTGGTCAACCAGGGTTCACTGGTTTTGACCCACAGCCAAGTGGCACGGGACGCACAGACCGAAGAGGGATGGGACTGAGTAGTAGTGCCGCCAATTTCTTTTTGGGGACGCCAGTGGGGCTGCCGAAGTGCAGCCTGACAAGGGTAACGATGGCCCGAAAGGACTGTGCATGCTAGCAAAGGATCGGATTCAGCAGTTGCGAAAGGAATAAAGGGCCAAGGCCCAGGTTGGTGAAGTTTCTTTCGGGACCAGTTTCTTTTTTCGTGTGCAAGGGGTGTGTGGGATGGATGGATGACTCTGGATGACCCATGTCACATTGAGCTCCTTCAAGGCCTCGCAAGCCTTGAGATCCTGGTAGGATGGTTCATTTACCAAGGACCCAACTCCAACTCTCCAAATATCATGCTCTGTTCGCCTAAACATGTCAGGTCTAATTGAACTGAACGGAGGTCTCCAAATCCTGACGCCCCGACCGCGCTCGTCCACGAGCTTGTCCAACATCAGTGTAGAGTGTAGAGTCTAGAGTGTTCTTTTTGGAGCGGTCAGGTCATGAGGACTGCACTGCCACATTTTTGCATGTCGGGGGTCTTGCTGAGCAATATTGGTCGAGCCACAGCTACCACGCATGTATCCATGGTCTGAGTCTTTAGCAGCATCCATGGCCTCAAGGGCAGTTTGTCACTTCTCGGAGCTGATTGAGAGGCTGCCATAGAGGTACGTATCCAAGGCGGATGGGTTGAAACTGGGTATGCCATCCTTGCGCCAGGATGTCTGGGACTCCTGGTTGAGCCAGGCGGGCGAGGAGAAGCTGCCCGAGAGCCACCCGATCCATCGAGAGAGGAGCGGAGACGCTGAGTTCAGGCAGCCGGGTTGTATGGGTGCAAAGTGGGTGATGGGTCAGGATTTCATTCGGACATAGGCTTAGAACCAAAAGTCCAGCCTAACAAAGCAGAATATGGCCAGCTCATTGCTCATGCTCCCTTTTCCTTGTCGCATGGTAGCGCGACAAGTTCGCCCTTTGCGTATGGCATGCCTTCCCCGAAGCGTAAGACTGGATGGCGCCTGGGCCGGGAAACCGTTCGTTCGACCGTGGACGCCGGTCGAGGCCAACGACGTCGATGGCCTCTTCGAAGCCCTCGAAGATCGAGGTTCCCGAGGAAGAGGATGAAGCTTTAGCTTGGATGCTCGAGGCCGCGCCGCCAGCTAAGCTGGCGACCGATGTGGCTGAGAAGGTGGGGATTGTTCAAAAAGCAACTCAGAGGGTCTACTAAGACCGCTCGCTCGCCCCTCCCAATGGCATTTGGCGACGCTCCGTGAATGTTCGATAGTGTTAGTAAGGTTGGTTGCTTCTGGTGCTTTGGCAGATAGTTGCAAAGGTGGAGTAGACCGTCAAGTGCACAAAATGGTCAGGCACCAGTGGCACCAGCAACGGCTGTCTCGTCAGCTTGGGGTGCTTGGGAGACGCTGGAGGGACATGCCAAGGGTAGTGGCAAGGGCAGTGCCAAGGGCCAGCGGGATGCAGCGCCCGCACCGGCCCTCCGCGATCTGGAACTGGAGGAGGTGCCTCTCTCCGAGGAAGACGTGGATTTCGAGGCTGAGACCGCTCTGTTCCAGCAACTGAAAGGTCACCAGGTCTCGACACAGCCGGACAAGCCGCCGGCGGAAGCCGGGGAAGATCTGCAGCATCAGATGGAAAGGCGCGTCCTTTCACCCGAGAAGCGCAAACATGAAGAATCCAAGGTCGGGCTTTGGGCGCTGTTTCAAAGATTTGAAAGGTAGTCAGCTGGTTTGGAGCAATATTTTGTCCCTGAATAGAGTACTTCGATGACATTCCTGAGCAGATGGACTCACCGCCTGGCCTGGCAGGAAACCTCATGCGACCCTTGGACGTCCGGGTCGAAGCCCCTGACTTCCACAATCGACCTTCCGGTGTACCTAGATATGGAGATTGTGTCGACCGCCAGTGATGAAGGGATGGAGTTTTACCAGAAGGAGATCGATGAGGAGAGGGTCACAAGGTTCGGCAGTTCACTCAGCTTGCTCCAAGTGGCTTGCATGTTTGGACAAGTTCTTCCCCTGAGGATATATCCCACTACCAGCTACAGTGGGTATTGGGAAAAGGTCTTGATTAAAAATGATCATCCACTGTTGCTGGCAATTGGAATGTGCACAATATATAGTTATGTAATGTTATGTATATAGCTTATAACTTATAACTACTTCATAGTCTCGTGTTTCAGCACAAGCACTCAACCGGGACAGAGCCGCTTGGCCTGGAGGATGACTTGTTGGATGGAAGCTTTCTGGATGGTCAGTCGGATTTGGCTCGGGCACCCAAGGCCAAAGCCAAGGCAAATCCGAAGGGACGCGCCAGGAATGCAGATCCTGAAGATGTAAGTTCCAAGAGGGCCAGGAAGACCAAGGCGGCACCTTGTTTGGCTTGTGGGGTCGTGCTACCCCAAAAAACTTTGAATGATGTTAATCTTGTTTTTTTCATTGTTTTCTATAATGATCGAGTACTCGTCGTTAGAGGGTCCAACGCAGCCGTCCCACAGGGACACGCCGAGGAAGGACGATACACTGGACCCGCAGTTGGGCAGGGCGCAGCACAGAAAAGCACGGGGTTGGGATAGAGCAGAAAATGCTGAACATCTGCCTCAGGCAAGGATGTCAACAGACATAGGAAATGCTAATCTTCTGCCACAGTGGGCAGGGATGAGGGGATGAGGAGGCATAGGGGGGGTCCAACGCTCATCCTCTTGGCTTCTGGAATCTTTTAGGATTTTGTCATCCACGTCCGTCCGACGCCGGGTGCGTCTGATCTGAGCGGCTGCGGGGCGACGGCAAAACTGGATGACCGTCTTGGTTTCCGCTCAAGGACCCCCAGAGGATTTACATAAGTTGCAAGACTTTTTTCCAGAACAGTTCAACTTCTGACCCATCAAGGAAGCTGCAGCAGTTCCATCACCCTCCACTTCTGGCAGACCTGCTCCTGGACCACCACCACCTCGGGGCCGCGAACGCCTCACTCAGGGCGACAGGGTGAAGATCACCGTGGCACCCGAGGGAAAGCCCAACTTGCGGGGTGCCTTGGCCACGGTATCCTGCATCATGGGCCACAAATCGCTCGAGCTCACCTTGGAAGAAGATGGCCAGCACGTGCTGCGACAGCGGGGCCAAGTGGCCTTGGTGGAGAGTTCCACTGCTCCGAGTTCCACCGAAACGCTGGCTGAAGCTTGGGCGATTTCTGAACTCTTGGTGGGGCCAGTCTTGGGGTTGAAGGGGTCAAACATTTGGTCACCAATGATTCATTTGAGATCTTGCAGCTTCCGGTGAGATGTGCAAGTGGCACAGCACCTGTAGGTGTCCTCAAGCGGCATAACAGGGAACACCGGTGCCCACACCTCACTCAGGAACAGCTGCCGAACAAGACTGGCTTGATGCGTCAGCTGAAAACTGCGGAGGTGGATCGGGCGGAAGTCTTGAGGCCTGGAGGCTTTGAGAAGAATGACGTTGAGGAAGGTTCATTCACGTCCTTTATTATTTGTTGCCTGTACCGTAGTACATCCATGTAAATCTTGGTGCCAGAACATGAACTGTATGGATCATTCGATCATCTCATTGACGCCATCTTCCCCCACCAGCCCCTTTCTGGTGCCTGCGCAGGGGTCGCAAACTGGAGCGTGAGGGCCTCGCGCCCTCACGAGGCCGTGGCCGCGGCGGCGGCCGCGGCGGCGGCCGCGGCGGTGGTCGCAGCGGTGGCGGCGGTGGCCGTGGCCGTGGCCGCGCAGCCGCGATGCCGGAGATAGGGCACCTGAGCACAAAGAGGGGTTGGAGCCGGGTGAGGTGTGCATGAGGCAGCTCCAGAGGGATTTGTAGGACTATAGTAGGGTCAACGGTCAACATGGGACACCATTGATTTGGATGTGCTTTTCTGACGAAGTTCCTTGCATCTTTGGGAGCGGGGCTTTTTGTAGTCCGAAGGCTTCGATGTAGGGCACCAAAGAGATAGACCCTTGCTAAGAGGCACACTTGACCCCGTAAGATGCAACAGAAGACCTTCGTTCGATTCAACTGTAAACGCCCGCCTTGGTCAGTGATGGACTCTTTCAATGCTTGGTCATTCGTAGCGCGATTTTCCACTTCCAAGTTAGTGGGTCGGAGTGCTCAATGGTTGGAACAAGAAAACTGATAGCGCAACTACATCCAACGTACTGAAAAGGAAGAAGAATTCGAAGGTTGACGGTTGAATTCGGCACGTTTTCACCCAGCCTGCCCCGTTGACCAGGAGCTCCTTCGATCGAATTGGCCCAGAGCTGGCGCAGCGGCTCCCGGAAAGGGCCTCGGTCAAAGGCTCAGTGTCTCGGATCATTTTCCCCGGGATTGGTTGAGGTTGGAAGGAAGCATGTTTCTTTCTTCACCACGGCAGCTTTAGTCACACTGAGCGTTCCCTTCCCCACGCTGGACCTACTCCTGAGGACTGGAAACACTTGCCACTGCTCAGCTGTTGAACCATGGGGCTTCTCATAGCTTCTTATGAAAGGTGTTCTTGGAGACCTAGATTAAAAAGACATAAAAAAGACATAAAAAGGCAACCACTCACTCATGCTCACATGAACAGCTCCCAGCTGTTCCCCCTTGAAGCTCCGGCACCTTCCGCCCAGCCCCATCCGCGCAGGCCGAGCTCCACCGCCCGCGCGGGCGCCGTCCGCTTCGCCGTGGGGGAGCCGCTGGAACGAGACGCGGAAGCCGCGGTGACCGAAAAAGTGGCGTTTCTGCGGAGAGAAGCGGCGATGGTGGTGCATCCGAACGGCGAGGCGAAGGTGGAACAACACGGGTTCCACCTATCCAGACTGAAAGAATCTGAAAGATGTGACAGTCCAAAAAGAAAAAAAACCTATGAGAAGGGGCAACCAGTGTCTTGGGACACCTGCTTTCGTGCGTGCTTTGATTCGTTCGATGCGCACCGAGCCGCTTTCGGCCCCCGGGAGCGGGATCCCTGAGAGAACCCGAGCGGCGCCCAGGTGGGGTCCTTTCAGCAGCTAGGGGTGGAGCCCTTTAGCCATGATCAGGCACGGAATCAAGAAACGACAGGTGGCCACAGGCCCCTTCCATCCATTTGCCTATGCAGCCTGGCTTGTATCAAGGGCATAATGACTCATGACACAGGAGCTTTCCTTTGCATTTCTCAAGGACCTTTTTTTCTTTTATTTTGATGCTTCTGGCCCTAGGCTAACCCTAGGCCCTAGAGGTCCACATGGGGAGATAGAGCTCCACATCATATACACATCATATACAAGTACATTGCAGAGGTTCTGCACAAACACACCATGGTGACCTTCACTCCTCGCACCCCGCGCAGATCCAAATGCTTCGGGACGATGCGTCTCAAGCAGCCTTCGGGGTGCCGCCGGAGAGGGGCGTTTCCACCGCTCGAGGCGTTTGTATTTTGGGTCTCGGCACACCATCGGCTTAGCTGGTGGGTACAGTTAGAGCTTTTGCTGAAATGATGCCACAATGTTCAGTAAATGCTTAGCATAGGTCGCTATGAAGCTGAACCGACTAGGATAGTATTTGCCGCTTTGCCCAAGCTTCTGTCGATTTTCGGACCATTACTGAATGTGTGCCACGTTTCTGGTGTTGCCGGGTTTGAGGGGGCGGTAAGGAAATTCGCCCTATCCCCAAGACAACCACATGGGACACCTGGTGTGGTGAGAACTTTTCGTCTCAACTCTCAAGTTGCTTTTGGGCTGACTGGGATAAGCCGGGATGGCCAGGTACCAAGGATGGCCAGGTGATGTACCTGGGGACGTGGTTTTTTTCGGTGAGACATGGCACGTCCTCAGTTTTGTGAGGAGTTCTTTTTCCAGTTTGACACGGGTGACTTCAAGATCCAGAACTTGAAGTGAGCGCTTGAAACCCATAAGTATGAGCAAGGGCCAAACCATCCTGTGAAGAGTTTCGGAGGTGAACCGCCATTGACATCGTAAAACTCAACATATAGGGAACCCTGAAGGGCGATGCCTGTTCCAGGCATATGATGAAGCATCTTTTTTGTTTTTAATACTTATATACTTTTTGCACCACAACTCACAACGTCTCGGTCAACATTTTGTGTCCGCCTTTCCTGAAGAGGCCTGAAGGAATGGAGCTGATGATGGCAATGGCACTTTACCACCCTTCCACTGGTTCTGCGATGGGTTCACCATCATCATCATCATCATCATCATCATTATCATCATCACCACCACCACCACCACCACCATCATCATCATCATCATCATCATCATCATCATTTTGTTATTTTCTTCCTCCTTCTTCACCTTGTTCTTCTGCATCTTGATTCGTGGGCGTTTGAAAAGGCCAGTACTGAGGGACTTCACCTGAGCTTTTTCCAAGATGGATTTCTGCCGTTCTCAGCAACAGTCCATCAAAATTTGCCGTTACACGTGCTTTGTCTCTCACTGCGTGTCTCGACTCATTAACCTAGATGCAAAACCGAAGTTACAATTTCCTTCACAGTCGTTTTTTGGAAGCAGATGCTCCAGAGGAAAACAATTTAAACAACTCAAATTGCCGGCGCAAGGAGTTCTCCACGGGTCATGCTTGGCACACCTACACCTTGACGAGCCCTGATGGATCTGTTCAGTGGTTGGGCTGCATTGGTTTGCGGATTTGTGGATGAGGTCCGCTGTCGACGGAAGAACTCTTAGCACCCGCCTGTTTCAGGCCAGAAGTAGTAGGCTGTTCCATTCGAGACATGTACTTCACCAGGCTTGACGAGTCTCGTTCCATTCAGGTGGTGCAGGATGTCCTTCATCAAGAGTCCAAGAACAGCAAGTGAGAAGCCATACCGCTTGGAACATGCATCCTTTTCTTTCCCCCCAAACGTTGCCATTCCCTCAGTGAAGGGTCCCTACGAACCCATTGAAGCCTTTTTATGATCCCCAGTCCGTGAAGATCGGAACGTCCACCGAGCTAGTTTTGGACAGCTCACGAGAGTGTCACTCTCCTAGTGATGGAATCCTTGTTGATCCTTGAGTCTTCTCAGCAGGTCGTAAACGGACCTCATTTCGCTGGTCCGGTCAGATCATACCAAAAACATCCAAAAACAGTACTCAATGAAGTCAAGGACGAGGTTTTACTTGGTCCTTGAACCGGCAGGGCTCCCTTCAAACCTGGGTTTTGGACACCTTGGCCTGCTGGAACATGGAAAAAGGCGGGTATAGGCTTCGAAATGCGGCGCGGTGCCGAGGGCCACCGAAATAGCTCCTGGTACCAACATGCAACTAACATGCGTACAAACATAAAGCAATAAGATAAAAGATAATAGTGTACTTGTACTTGTGTGTCGCTATTTTTGGGGGGACCCCCTAAGCAGTTTGTGTCCGTCATGTTCGCTTCCAAAAAAACGCATCACTTTTGCGATTCGTTGGCCTGCAGGTTCCAGTTCAAGCACAACGTTTGCGGCCGACGCACCTACGGTGAGGGTGTGGCTGATGCGGTGGAGTTCATCGCACGGAAAGCCCTGGAGAAATCCGAGAAGAAGGCGAAGTAGCGCGGTCGGTGCGTCGCAGTAGCAGTTGGGCCAGGGGAATGACCCAAGAAGGGTGAAGGTGGTTGACAGCCAGTGAGATCGAAATAGCCTCCTGGAAGCAGACACACGCACACACAACATATATATATATATATTTTTTATACACCATAGACACACATACACACACACATATATATATATATACACACTTACACATCTATTCGTGTGCGTGTGCAAAGAAAAAACCAACTAACAGTGGATCAATGTACATGTAGCCTGATGAGTTGGATCAAACTATGGATCTGCTCGATGATCACGGTGATCACGGTGATCACGTGAGACGTGAAGGCGATGAAACGATTCATCCAACTTCGTCTCAACTGTTTACTGGTGCAAAACAGCCATGGACGGGCTGTTTTGAATGAAGTCTTGCAAACAAATAGGCTCTCTGAAATCATTAGATTGAAACACTTGAGCAGTTTTAAAGTTTTGTCTATGAAACAAGTTGTGCAATCTGTAAACTCATGCTTTCGCGAAAGCTAACGCGCAAAAGCTTTTGCGAACATCACATTTTTTTGTGCATGTGGTTCCTTATTCAAAGAAGTAGCGCACAAATTTGGGTGAGCAAGTTTTTTGTTCTTGAGCATGCCTGAAACGGTTGCAGATCACAAGGGCAGACAAGCAGAGAGATGTTTTGGTGGTCAATCGAAAAAGCTTTGTGAAAGGCCTATGACAGTCGAAAATCCCTGGTTAGTAGTACAGTACCCCATCCGACCCCCATTTGCTATTACTATTCGTTTGTGACAGCGTTTTGCATCGTCAGGAGGAACTTGCACTCCTAACCTCCAAATATAGGGTGTTACTCATGACTCATTATACTTCCATGTATTTTTGTCCCCTGTTCTATTCGGAGGTCACGCCATGTGTTACCATTTTGCATGGAGATGGGTCAAGTGGGTAAAAACATGGTAAAACAACATATAAGTACCTTATAACACCCACAGGTTTGACGGCGACCCGCCCGGACGACGCACGCCGCGACCGGCGGCGACCCGCCACGTGCCGCGCAGATCTTCAACATGATTGACATCCTCGAGGCCGAAGCGCATGGCCGAGCAGCTGGGGAAGGGAGAACAGATCAGGCCAATTGGTGCGAAAGACGTTTTTCTTTTTTAAATAAGAAACACCTGAAAGACTGAAGGAGGTTCTGATTTCAGCTTCGTTGAACATCGTTGAACTAGTGTAGATAGTTTTATCTTGGAAGCTTGTTGGCTCGTATGCAGGAAATGTGCATATATATATATTTATTTGACCTATGTCCTGCTGGCTGAGGGGAGAAAGAGAAATGTACAGGGCCCACTGGTTGGGGTATTCCATTCTTCCCAAAATGGGATGGAAAAGGATCCAGGAGTTGTTTTTCCCCGGAGAGATGGAGGTCATGCTTCCCACATTGCGTGAGAACTCTCAAAACCATCGATTTTGCAAGAGGAGTTGTGTCAGGCAGGTTTGCACTGCTGTGGACGCCTTCATTTAACATGTATTAGCATGCCGACACATCTCTGATTCAGAGCTGGGGCAGCTGACTTGAATCAAGCCGCAAGCAAGCTTCAGCCGCATGTGGGGACAATTGACACACTTCGTTGAGTTGGGATGAAACTCTTACCATGAAAACATGATCGGCAACAAGGTTTGAATCGGCAGCTTCATGCACCTCATGGGGTCAGTTTTTGGGGGTCCATTGCACTGGTCCCCAACGCTGGTGCCAGGCCGGCGAAATGAAGTGAGCGCCATTGGGCGGTACGATTGGGAGGTGGCCAGTCTGTGCCAGGTGTGTTACATGGAGATTTGATGTTTGCTTGGGTATTGATCATTCCCATAGTCATAGTTTCAATAGACTTCACCCGGGGTAGGACTGAAGTCACGGGAAAGACTTCGGTCACCTTGATCAAGTTGGTGCTGCATTCCGCGTTTGAATCGCAGGGAGAACGAAGACATTTTGCAAGGATTCCCCATCTGGAAGACTAGCTTTCTCCACAAATCAGGGTTTTTTGAGGCTCCATGCTAATCTTCCAGCGTGGATCTGAACTGTGGGGGGAACTGTGGGCGTTGTTCGTCGAGGCGAGGCTGTTCCAGGTCGGCTGGAGGAACTGATGTACAGTATATCTGATCATATCTGATCCACATACTGGACAAGCATGTGGGGCAATACCAAGGGTTGGAACTCAGTTATCAAGGCTGATGCCCTGCATTTTTTTTGAAGTCTGATGCACCGGTTGTGGCACTTGCACTTGGGTCCTTATGTTTGTGCAGAAGGTGCGTTCAGGAGCGTTTGAGGTGAAGGAATGATTGCTGGTGGGGCATGCAGGCGGTCCATGTGAGCGTTCAGGACAGGCACGGACCTCCAAATGGATGTATCAGTATCATCATGAATCATTCCTGTTCTGTAGTCGTCAGTCCCATTGAAGAGAGGCAGCCATGTATGTTCACGCGTTATGGTTTGTTCCGGCACATCATGCCATGCCCAGTGTGAAGACCTCGGAAGACGATGCTGAGCCTGAGCTCAGCAAGGTTTTGCTGCGAAGCAGTGATGGCTTAGGCGGATCAGATTCAGGGCCAAGAAGTGCTCCGAGTCATGTGAGGGTCTATCGAAGCTACATGAAGCCACCAAGATGGGCTGCTGGCGAAAGAACATGTCCCACAAGGGCGCATGAAGCTTTTGGCATACAAAGGCCACATAAGGCCGCTTCTTCATGGAATTTCCCACAGATCTTTGCATGGGGGGTTCAGAGCTTTCCTTTTCCGTAGACTCTCTCATATGGTAGGTAGAGTTCTTTTTCGGACGGCCGCCAAGCCTTAGGAAAAAGACTTGCTCAACGACCTGAACAACTAAGACTAAGACATGATCATGAGTACAGTAGCTCGAAGGTCCTGCGCTTGCCTGAACTTGACCCTATCAGCTGACTTAACATATTGTTTTTTGCTGGCTGTCTCTCCATTCAGCAGGCTTAATGATGCTCAAAGCTCAACAGGACACAGGGATGCATAATATCACCACGCCCGGCCCTGAGGCCAACGAAAGCCCTTCGGTGTGGATGCCAAGCTAGAGAGTGCAATGTGAAGATGTTTAAAAGGATCAGTCAGGAACGAAGGACTAGATGAAACCCTTTCAGGATTGTGCAAGAGAAGACTTGCCTCAAAGCATGGGCCAATTTGTACAGTAGTACTTGAGCCTCCCAAAAAGCAGATCGTGGGCCCCTTCTCGCCTTCTATCTATCCTGCGGTTGGCATGCCACAAAACCGAGCGGGGTTTGAGCCAGGCGCTTTTCTCCAAATACTTCTCCGCGCTGGCGGGTTCAGAGCAGGCGGAGTGACTGGGGCAGGTTTTGACGAGACGGGTATGGAATTTGTGGCTCGCATCCTTCATCCAATGAACGGAGGCCACTGCTTCGCCAAAACGTCACCTGAGGTTGATGCCTTTTGGACGAACAACGTCTCCATTCGACATGTGGCACGCCGGTGGGTGAGAATTGATGTTTTTCTTTGACACTTGGAATGTACCATCCAAATCAATCCATGTCTGATTCTAATCTACGTTTGACTGGTGGCATGACGCGTGCACCTTAAGGGCTATCCACTCTTACGCACCATCAATTGTCCCAAACCGGCTCGTCCGCCATAGACCAAGCGGAAGAAACCTGCCGTTCACCCACAGGGGCTCCAGCCGCAGGCTCGCTGGAACCGTCGCGAGCGAGCGCCACGTGAGGCCGAGCGGAGCCTTACGCAAGAGGCAGAGCGGTGAAGTGCTTGTCGCAGGAAATGGTTGATGTTGCTGCAGTCCTGAAGACGTCTGAAGACCATTTGTTTGCATGCAGCCGGTGAATCCAAAGGATTTGAAAGCAGTTAGCAGGGTTCTGGTGCATAAACCTGGTGTTGAAGATTGAAGCACCCCCTCACCCCACTTGCATCTCTTCAGCCAATACCCCATCCCCTGTGTGGTCATCATGGAGGACAGTGCCAGTGTTCTTCTCAAGTACGTCACGTACCGGATCTGATCAAGTCCCCCAACTAGACAGATGTGTCAAAGCCCATCCCACCGACATCCTACCTACATCCCAACACTCTCAGGCATTTTCAAGCATCCCTTAAGATCCTCCCTGGTCTCCCTCCTCCAACCATTGGCACTTGGTGGTCTGAGTCCTCGTGACCGTCCCTGGCTCGAGCCTCTGCGCTCCCCGAAGCGGTGCCAGAGTTGCCTTGGAAGGCGGGCGGCCCGCGGAGTCGGGGCGAGTCGGGCCTGGCTAGGAGGTGGTCGTCCCAACTGCTGCAACGAGAGTTTATTGGAGGGAGCATCCACCCACAACGATCATCTACGCCACCGTAGATCCTCCTAGCGGAGAGGGGCGTTGGGGGAGGGGCATCATTTAATTAAGCGGGAGTTGTTGGGAGCTGACAAGACGATTCACATGTGGTGACAGACTTCAGCTCGCGGAAGCAATCCAGGCCTGCCGTAGGAAGCATTTCGCCCTCCCACTATCTCCTACCAAGTTTGTAGGAGCTGGGAAGAGCTTGTCAAAGGTAGCAGCATGGATTTGACAAACTGCTTGAACTGTATGCAAGTGGAATGTTGCCATCTCAAGAACATCAAGAACATGAGTACACACTTGGAGACCAGGCCCAAATCTCTCTGTCAGTGCACCCCGCACCAAGATGTCCATCCATTTGCAGCGCGTCAGCATTTGCTGCCGCTAGGCGCCATGCTGTTGGAACTGCTGATCCTTCAGCAGCTGGCGATTCAAGCGTTCAGCGATGAGTCTTTTGTGAAAGCAGATGGAAGCTTGGCAATTTGCTGGACGCATTGTAAGAGCATGGTGGTTGCAAATTGGGGAAGACGAGCTCCCAATCATCGCACCATCCGCTGTGCCACGTTCCATTGGACGCCAGGTTCCATCAATGTGCAGAAGCGGCACCACCATATCCACCGTGGGCATGAAGAGCCAAGCGAGTTGGAGCAACTCGGCGGTAGGACGAAACCCGCTCGATGGGAGTGAGAGGCTCTCCCAACAAGCTCGCTGAATTGCATAGGAGGAAACAATGAGACAAATGAGAGTACAAATAACGCAGTCCAATTCTTCCAGATTTGAGCCTTTCGTATTGCCACCCTTAGGAAGTAGAGTGATCCGGCAGTTCACCTCGCCTCGCCACCCCCCCCCGTCCACTGCACGGTCGCCTCGCCTCCTCAAGGCGCCGGCGGGAGCTGTTGGCGCGCGAAGCGCCGTCGATGTCCAGCCTCTTGGCCGAGATCGAAGCGGCCACGCAGAGTGAGGCGCGCGCCGAGGCCAGGAGTTCGCCGGGGATCACGGAGTCATGGTAGTTGAAGGAGGGGGGGGAAGAGATGGAAAGATGGGGAATAGGTGGGGAATGAGGGCCGTTGAGTGTTGGGTCAGCTAAGGGGGGGATGGTCAGTAATTATTGATGGGTGTTTGTGGCCAAGGTGGCGGAGTTCACTCACGAGTAGTCACTACTAGTGGTTCATGTCTTGTGGGACAGTTGCGGTGTCTGTGTCGGCTGTCAGCTTGAGATGGTTTCAGATGGTTCACGCAGAGTCTTTGGGACTTCGGATGGGCCCCTCAGTAAGGCCGCTCCGCCCGGTTCGGAAACGGCAGGAGGGTCCCTGGGCGTGTCTTGGGGAGGTGCCTTACCGGTTGGTGCACGGTCCGATCGAAGCGTGGCAGGTGGCCAATGTCACATCCACGCCCAAACCGACACCGACGAGACAAGACTCGAAGCTCCTCGGCATGTCGACATACGTCGCCGAACTGGGACATGCCACGTTCCGGGTGTTGAAGGATGTTGAATGCCTGTCTCTCAGATGGCACTCATTTGTCACGAGCATTTGTGGGGACATGACACAAAACAAGAGTGCAGGTGAAGATCTTGAGGCCTTTGGCCCACCGTCTGAGGTTTCCTGTCATCAGTGAATGGGCCTGTGCCCTGATGTGCGCCGGACATGCGGAGGATGGTTGTTGTACCTACAAGAGCAACGCAAAGCGCGTGGGAGATGAGAATGATGGAGACAACCATGAGGCGGGATGCCGACGAGACGATACGATCTCAACTGTTGTTTTGGGGTGGCAGACCCCACCAAAACCAAAGAGACTTCCCAATTCCCACCTCATGAGTGATGACAGAGCCAGGCGGCTGGCCTTTATATCTTGCTAGGAAGGGTTTCCTGCCCCCACTTTGCATCTGAATCATCCATGTACTACCGCACCTTCTCCTGCCAAGCTCTCAAGTTAGCAATGTTGGATGATTCCAGCAGTCGTCAAAGGGGCGGCTTTCTCAACAAAATATCAATCAATATCATGCTCCAGGAAGACACTGGCTTGTGCGAGTTCCGCCCGGGCTACCTGGGTGTGGATGAGACCCTGGCGGAAGAGGATTGGACCGCCTCTCAGTGCATCCCGGTGAGAACCAGCATTGGGGGGGGGGCATGTCGCCGGGCATGTCCATGATTGCCGGGCACATGCGGGGGGAGATGAATTGCAGCCAAAGAGCACTGCCTTAGTAACCTTAGTACAACTCATTTCACTCAACCTCAGCAACCAGATTGTGATCGGACCAGCGATGACTTGTCAAGGCATTGCTGGCTACAGCACCAGCAAGTGTGCCGAGTGGAAGCCGGGGAAATGCATGGGCAAAGCACAGGATCTCAGCACAGCATCCAAAGGGCTGCCGATCTGGGACTTAGCCTTCGAGGAGGGGCCGGAGACCGATGCGCTGAAGACTCACGCTGGGGGTTGACCAATGGAAAACAAGTGGGGTTGCCTTGCACAATGGATCAAGCCTAGATCTTCAAATGAGCAGAAATAAGTGCTCGAGGTGTAAACTGCTCGTTTTGCAAAAAAGTGCTCGAGCTGCAAATGAAAAGCAAAAACAGGTGCAGTTTTCCAAAGTGCGCTCGTGTGCGCTTTTTTGCGCTCGTGTGCGGAATTTTGCGCTCGAAGTGCGGCCTTGAAAAAATGCGCGGGACACACACACAGAAACTGCGCGTTTTACAAAAACTGCTCGTTTATCCAGAAAGTGCTCGATTCTTAAGAAAGTGCTACGAAACGCAGGTTGAGCACTTATTTCTGCTCGTTTGAAGACCTAGGAGATTTGATGTTTCTCATTGGAAAATATTTAGGCCCGTCAAAAATGGTAGAAAAAACAATGAACACCACATTTTCTCTACAAATAGGTGGCTTTCCACTTTTATTTAAGTGACTCGGAGAGTATCATCATCTACCACCATGTGGCTTTAGCATCAGGGCAATCGTCAACGACCATGCAGAGAATACGCGCCGTGGAAATGATACCCGGTACCTAACTTCTTCAATCCCGAATGTTCTTCCCAATTTCGGGGCTGCGGACGACTGGCTGGCTCTTGCTCATTTTCCCGACTGGCTCGACCACGTGTCTGTCGTTGATCATTCTCATCCCTTTGGAGCTTCATGGCGCATCTCGCCTGGGAGACCGGCCGCCCCGTGGTCGTTTTCGTGCGCCAGGACCACTTCGACCGCCTCACCTGTGTGCCTGACCGCAATGGCGTGCTGCGACCCAACCCGGAGACATGGACAACCGAAATTGGCTCCTGGAACCGACCAAACGCGCAGAGAAGATGGAGCAAACCGTGCGCGTTTGATGGGCAGTTTAGAAACACGGTTTTTAAGGCTGTTTTGGAAGGGATTGGAGAACAGCTCGCAGGGAATTAGGGACCTTTTTGGGGTCCGAAGAAGGTAGTTTCATATCTCGGTTTTGCCGCGGAAGTGATGCGAGATGATGTGAGTTCAGTCATGTTGCCTCGATGCCCCCAGTGGTTGCGAAGAACATCAGGGCCACCCAGGGCCACCCAGAGAAGGTCACTGACGATGTTTGAAAACCGCCTGAGGCTACAAGCGAGGCAACCCAGCTGCGCTGATTTTCGTTTGTTCAGAAGGGTCCGAGAAGACGCGAGATTAACTGAATACATGCTGTAGTTCGGATCGTGCTGCAATTTTCATGCGATGCGCATACTATGGTTTAATGAGTGCACCGCAGTATTGTCACAGAGATGCTGGCCGCGGCCCAAAGAGGCCGCGGTCTGTGATCCTGGCGTTGTAGTTGCCTCAGGCACATATATGCAGACAAAGGTGTTTGTCACAATGAACATACTTTATTCTGTGCCGGAGCTTCTTCTCAACGCTTGACAGCCCCCAAGGTAAGGAGAGCCAGTTCTACCTCCCAGACAACGTGGAATGCAAAGACGGCGCGCTGGTGATCACCGCCAAGCGCGAGCGCAGCAAGGGCGAGGCCACGTGTGAGGTGGCTCGATTGAATACCAGGGCGATCAGCGTTGTCATGAAAGGAACTGAAAGGAATATATAGGTTTTATAGACTCAGCCGCCCCCCAAGTGGGGGGGGGTACTTTTGGCAGTCAAGACTATGAAACCCACTATATTATGATGCGCCAGCCTTAAGCCACAAAAAACCATCTAATCCCTTAGTCTGTGTGGCGGGCATCCCTTCCAACCGTTGAATCAGGTGAGTTCTTCGTTCAACAGGGAATTTGGCGGGCCATAGACTGGATTGATTTCTCTCTGCCACAGGTCTGGGGACTTGGGAATTAGGCGGCTGAAAGGGGAAGATTATGTAGACTTTTACCATTTCACGAGTTCCGTAGCTCTCCACTGTTGAGACAATGACTGGTTCGCCGGCCCTACTTCCCATACCAACCAGCGAGAAAGACCAGCACCGCAGTCGAGGTCAAGGGCTCTGATCCCGACCTGGACGTTGAGGCTGAACTCCAATTGAGTTGGGCAGTTGCGATCTCGAACCTAATGATTTAGAGAATGATTTCCATACCCTCTCTCGCTCTCAGCAGTCTTTTCGGCTTCAAGCCATATCTCATGAAGTGAGTCGAACAAATGCAACCTGCTCCGATTTGGTCCTATTTTGGGTGCCGCGGCGTGCGACCTGCCGCCGCAAGTATTTTGGATCCTTTTCCGTCCCTAAGAAGCGGTGGAGTAGCGGTGGCAACCAGTGTAGAAGTCTAGAGAGTAGAGATGCAACGCACATGATAATTCACTGCATCTCCCTGAAGAGTGCAATCATATCACTCTCCCTCTCTCTCTCTCACTCTCTCCCTCTCTCTCTCTCTCTGTCTGTCTGTTTGTCTGCCTGCCTGCCTGGCTGGCTGGCTGTTTGTCTCTGTCTGTCTCTGTCTGTCTCTGTCTGTCTCTCTCTCTCTCTCTCTCGCGCTCTCTCTCTCTCTTTTTTCGTGCGCTGCGGAGGCCTGCCAGGTGTGTGCGCCACCGACCCTCGAGTACAATGCGCCTTGCGACAGAGTGGCCGGTGATGGCTGGCCGGTCTGCGATTGTTCGCTGGGTGCCGAGTATACCTCCGGGTCGCTGGTGTCCAGGCACAAGCAGGTCGGGGCCTAAGCGGTTTGCATCGCAAGAGGTTGTTGTTGTTGTTGTTGTTGCTGCTGCTGCTGCTGATGATGATGATGATGATGATCATGATGATTGGATTGAATTGAATTGAATTGATTTGATTTGATTTGGCTTGGTTGTTTGGTTGATTGGTTGAGTGGTTGGTTGATTGGTTGATTTGTTGATTGATTGATTGATTGCTTGATTGATTGCTTGATTGATTGATTGATTGATCGATTGAGGATGATTTGGCAGCAGTATGCAGGCCTGTAGGTCCTCGATTGAGTTGATAGATCTGGGACACACAGCTTTATGGGGGCTAAGATGCTTACTATGATGCTTGTGCAGTTGTATTGGTTGAAGAACTCCAGCAGACAGTGGATGTTTGCCCCAGAGCGTCATGAATATGACTCTTCGATCAGCAGCTTAGCAAACTTGCCAGCACCAGTCTGAGGAATTCTCCTATGGCCTACTGGAGGTGCGTGCGAAGATTGACACTCGCCCGGGCTTGTGGCCTGCCTTGTGGGCCGTCGGAGATTTCGACAAGGTGCCATGGCCCAAGAATGGGGAGATTGACATCCTGGATGCCTTTCAAGGCCCGCACGACGAATGCGCGACCGACGACGACACGGAACGGGGGTGATGTGTTGAGCGCTGGGTGGACGGTCCTACTCTAGGTGTTGTTTCCCTGTGGACGTGTCTTGGAACGCTATAGGAAGATCTATCTGATAATGAAGCAACACATGCATTTGGCATGCATTTAGAACAAGCCACAATCGCGACATCGACGCACAGCAATGACAGAGAGCAGTGACAGCAAAGAGACTGGCTTATGGTATCTACTCCTTCTCACTTTGACTCCCATACATTTTTGCTGAATGGATTGTTTGTTTGGGTATTCGGACGCTTCTCTCGACAATGGTTCCTTGCAACTATTGGATCCATTCCATCCTCCCATCCTTCGTCGGCCCGGTGCCCCGGTGCCGAAGAATCCTCTAAAACCGCCGACCCTGGAGGCATGCTGAAGGCCAGTGTCATCCACGCTGGCGAGTCCGGTGGCGCGGAGGATGCCGTCTTCCATGGCTCGGCCCGAAGGATCAATGCCGTCGCTGGGAGACAAGGGCTTTTTTAGGGCGGAGGGCGGAGGGCGGGGTTTGGCTGTCTTTTTTGGAACGGGTGGTGTTGGTGCGGTGTGTGTGTGGTTTGGTGGTGGTCTTGCTGCTAGGGGTTGAGAGCTGCCCGGCACGTCGTAGTGGGTAGGCGTCAGGAAGTATATAATCTGCTGCGTGGCTTTCTTGGATTTCCAGGAGCCTCCCTACCTCGTGCAACATCCCCAACCCTTCGAAACTCTTGACACCCCCCAAAGGTTCCAGAGAGGTCAATGACCAGCCCACCCGCCAAAAAAGCACAGGAGGAAAAAAAACCCATCGTGCGTTTTGGGGTGGCGATTTCGCCATCGAAAACACCCGCGACGCCTGCGTGACTCTGATGAGCCGTCTGAGGAGTGGGAGAGGAGCTTCCACACCTGGGCTCTGGAGTGGGACGAGGAATTCATCTCAATCCGCGTGGACCGCCAGGACGTTCGTTCCGCGCTGTTCAGATGGTGTGACCACGACCTCAGGCTTCGGGGCTATTCCGGAATCAGCTCCAGCTGTTTGAGCGACCTGTTGGCGGCCATTGCACCAAGTCTTTGAGTGTTGGAAACGATGTTCAAGGTCCTTCCACGAACACCGCCTCGTGGTGGTGGCCACTGTGGTCACCCTCATTGATCTTAGCCACATGAAGTTGAATCTCGAAGTGAAACAGATCAAGCTTCAGAATTGAGTGGCATGAGACATTCGGCTTGATCTTACCCACATGAAGTGAAACACCTTCGGGGATGCCACCCTCAAGCCGAATGGCGGTGGCCCCTCCCAGCCGCTCGTCTCGTGCTTTCGACGGAGTCGTCGTAGGAACTCTTGCGGCTGGATTTGACGGTGGCCGATCCGGTGAGAACTTCCTGGCCAAATCCCTTCAAGAGCGGAAAGAAGCCGCTTGGGCCGAGGCCCTGGGGCCCTGAGATTCATCTCACCCAAGCAGCACAGAGAGAGAGAGAGAGTGTTCGAAGGATTCTTGGGAGCACTTTTTTTTGCGCTGTACATTCCTCTGGACCGAAGAAGAGCAGCCAGCTGGCCAGCGTGTGGAGCTGTTTATGATATGTTTATGTATGTTTTGTCTTAGAGTTCTAGAACTTTTGGCTGCATTCTTGCTACTACTGTATAGCTTTTGGGGTAGAGCACATACTTGTGTGAACTTGCTCCCTTGATCCTCATAGAGTGTGCTGATGATCGTCGACTGCGATAGTTTCCTTCAGCAACTTTGGGAACTTATCTGGATTTTGTGACGTGAGCAGTCCGCAGAGGTCGCAAGTTGTTTTGGCGAGATGCCGTGTCTACATGCACACGTCGGCACACAAAGGATCAAGACTTTGGTAGCACGACTTGCGCAACACACACACACACACCCCTTGATACAAAGTGGCGTCGGGTATGAAGGGGGTGAACCAAACATCCTTGACTTGGTGACACATCCCACCTGGACCTGAGAGACCTCTTGGCCCCCTGGGACAGTTGATTCGGGATTTCGGCCGAGGTTCTTCATGATCCTGAACCTGGCAGTGGGTGGCCAGTCTGGAGGCAATGCCACTCAGTCGGACTTCCCAGCCACGCTGCTGGTGGACTACGTGAAATACTTCAAGAAGAAGGGCCGCACCAGCCGATGACACCGGATGAGCTGTGAGCTAAGCAGCGCACTAGCTGGTGCTTGCTTGGCATGGTGTTTGATCGGTCACGCGCAAAAAGAGGCTGAGCGAGCTGAAGAACACCCAATTGTAAGTCAAACTCTCATGCGATTGACATGCCGCTTCTTTTGGAGTGAGAGGTGGAGGCCCTTTTGGTTTATTTGTGCAACCTGATTCTGGCAAGCCTCGAGTTTGCCTACACAGGCCGCAGTGTCTCAATGGCTGGCGAAGGCGTTAACCGAGACATCAGAGACGGACGAGGTGCTCAGGGTGAGAATTGGTGGGGCTTTCCAGAGGGTAGAATGTTCTGGCTACAGTGCTACAGGGAGTTTCCTAGCCGTTTGCCAGCAATGGCCAATGCCAAGTTGCTGGCCTGTCAAGAGCATTCCCACGGCAACGCTGGTGACCTAGAAAGACGACAGTTGTCCCAAATGGGGTTGGGATATAGGGAGGAAAAGAACACCGGATTTCTTTGGCATTTCTCAATCGGAGATGCCCGCCAACCGAAGACTCCAGCATGAATCCAGGTGTGCGAAGACCTGGAAAAACCTTGCCAGAGGTCGTTTTTGTGAGTTAGGTAGCTCGATTTTCACGGGGCTCTCTGATCATCCTTAAGTTACTTCTTTGCCATTGAATTCGCTCCCCAAGCCAGCTTTCTTCACCGGAGCGTGGCACGGTGATGGGCCACCCGTGAGGCTCGGGAGCTGGTCTTGGCGGAGGCGGACCAGCTGTTTGGCCGCTTGAGCTGTGCCAGGCGCGGAGGGGAGGACGAGACTGAGAATGCGGGGAGGACGAGCGAAGTGGTTCGCACATTTTTTTTTCAGGTTCGATGAGGGGATTCACTTCTTGATTTTGGGCTTGGAAGTCGCTAGCAGGGAAAGTCAAAAATTGTAGCTGAGCTGATCGTAGTGCTTTATGTCTCGTCGGAGTCGTCGCGAATGCAGCCCGACATCGTTGGACTGAAGATACGGTTTTCCACGAAGTGTTTGGATAGACATTCAACCTAACATTCATGCGTGGGGGATATTTTCCAAAACAATCAGTTACAGAATGTATTTTGTTACAGATCCGTTTGGCAGAGCACTTTAGAGCAGCTTTTGGCTCCCAAACTTTTGCATTTGCAGGGCGGCGCTGTGGGCGCACGTGTTGCTTCTTTTCCTTTTCAGCGGAAGGCGAAACACGTCTAGAGGTATTTGGATCCTTTTTGACGATCCGACCCAAACCAATTACGCAGCTAGCGTTAGCCGTTAGCTAGCTGAGTACATTCTTGCTTTAGCAAAGCAGGGGAGGCGGGAGGCCAACTCAGCGGTATAATCACTGAACTCCCCTGTTATGTTAAGACAGGGATAGATAAGATACGAACATTAACTTGCCCCCCTTACAGATGAGCATCGTTGATGCTTAGTGGTCCAAGTCGCCTCTGCGAGTAGTAAGCATCGCGGATAACATTAAGCCGTTACGGTCAAGGAACCGCATTGTTACGCACTTTTGCAACAAATTGCGACCGGCCTCCCGCTGGCCTAGACAGTGTAGACGCACAGGCCCCGCTGGAATCAACCTCCCTCCACTACTCGACTCTACCATGTGGATTCTGTGTGCTGTTGGCTTTCTCACTTGAGCAAGCAGACGCTCATTGAAGCCCGAGGAACTTGTTGGCTTGTCGTGCTGGCCACACGGTGGCGTAAACTCCGCTGGCCGACCAGTTCGTCGAGGTCGACCCCCACCGCCCCAGTCCAAATCACATCCCTTCGTGGATCACCCAGTTGAAGCCCACTCACATAGGTCGAACTCCGGACCAGTTGGGCCCATTGGTATCCAGGAAATAGGAAAGAAATACAGAAAAGAACAGGAAGAGAAGTACGAAAGGTCTAGAGTGAAAAAGTGGAAAACACAGAAAGGCATTAAGAAAATGGAACCTCCAAAAATGTAAGCTACATTTTTGTGCACTTTGAACTGAGAAAATGTAAGCTACATCTTCTGAAGGAACAAACAAAAATGTAACTTACATTTTTCCGAAAAATGTAGCTTACATTTCTTGAATGGGCTACCACAAATACTAATGTAGCTTACATTTTTGGTCTCAAAGTTGCCAAACAATGCCGCCTACATTTTTGCAGGTCCCCCCCTACTCCTAAGTAGGGATCTTCTTAGATCATCGCCTTCAAGAAGCAGGTCAACCTGGCTAAACCACGACCGGAGCTCGGGACGTGAGCAGCTCGGGGCCGGTCTGGAGGCCCCAAGTGGCCTCGAGGGACGAATGGCGCCACTACTGGATGTTGGAGTCCTCTGCAGCCAGTGGGGGTGCCCAGGATTGTCCCTGGCCGGCCACGGCCGGCCACGTGAGACCCTCTCTTTCTTTTGTGTCGCGAGTTGCGGTTGTGGGGTTTGGGCGATCTCAGAAGCATGGAAGGTAGAAGAAAAGGTTCAGGTTCAGGGTCTGACAGACCCTACCTTGGAATCAGAAGCTGTGAGCGTACTGAGCGTACTGGTTGCCACATGGCATTTAGAGCAGAATCTTGAGCTGGATATTTTTGCATGACCTCCGCTTGTCCAGGCAGTTATGCCCTGAACATCGTGCAGGTGGGGGCGTATCCAAAGCCAGCTTCTGCAAGAGTATACCGACGGACTGGAAGATAGAATGTGCTTTTGGAAACGGCCGATGCCGAATGACCCCACTTTCCGGACCGGCAAACACTACATTCTAACAGTCAGTGTTAGAATGTGCAGAAAACCCTTTAGAATGCGTCTCTTCATGGTTCAGCGACACATGAAGACCAGAAAAATGAATGCAAAGTGAAGGGAACATTAAAGGAATTGAAGGAATGTTCTAAAACCACATTCTAACTTTGGGTCTCGGCCACCCGGGTCCAAGAGCGCTAACTCTCGATGCCAAAAATTTGGCAACGGCGCATACATTCTAAGTTCCAGTCCGTCGGTATATTGATCTAAAATGCGCAGCGCAGGCCGCAGGTTTCGCCAGCACTTGCAACCCTTTATAGTCCCGGACTGAATGATAGAACCCCGACGTGCGGAGCGTCCGCCCAAAGAAGGTGTACACATAGAACCATGTCTAGGTCAGGTCACACAAGTTAGAACCACGTCAAATTCTATCTTTCAGTCTGGTATTTTTCCCACACGTTCCCTTTTCTACGCACAATGATACGTACACACGCTTAGAATGCCGCACCAAAATCTTTTGTGCTTGTAATACCTTCCTAAGTGTAGGTAGGCAACGCTCCATTTGGCTGATTGATATTTACCCACAAAAGCAATTTTCCTCGTGGAGAACGTGGTTCTAAGTGTGAGGTGGAGCATGGTGTAGGAGACGACGTGGTTCTGTCTTTCTATAGAGTTTGACGCTTGGACCGTTTGATCCTCCAAATCTTCAAGTCCAAGTTACGAAAGCCTGCGAGGAACCCTCGCAGCCTTCGTCTCAGGAGGAGCTCCGCAAGACGGTGAAAGAGTCTCCGAAGGTGGGGCGGGAGGTAGCTGTGAAGGGGATCGATGGTATATCCCCCTAAGAGGCCCAAGAGGTGAGGGGCCTGGGGCCCAGGAGCACACGGTCTCAGCGATGTTCTGGAGACCCAAGTCGAGGTGGCCGAAGGGTGTTGCGATTGCTCCGCCCTACCCGCCTGAAGCGGTCGTTTCCAAAGCAGTCTGCCCCAGCACACTGCGGGAGCTGTCCGAGGGTGGTGCCTAGCTTAAAGTCCGAAGACCGGGAGACCTCCAGTTCGGCGGCTCACGGGAAGAAGGGACATAGACCAAAAATGATCAAAAAGTCCACTGGGCCATTGGGGCTCTCCGGGTCTCTTTATTGAAAGACACGCCCAGCTGTTCTGAAGAATGGCTTCAGCTGTTCCGTCGCCTCCAATCGCCTCCAAATGGCCCACATCCACAGCTCCAACCGGGGCATCTGCAAAATCCACGCTCCACCCACACCGAAGAACAGCACTGGTAGCGAGACTCCAGAGCATCAAAGACCTTGGGAGTTTCGTGGCGTTCGGAAAGGCACTCCCAGACCATCCATGTATGACATCTTTACCACCTTTACCTACATTGGGCATCATTGGGGTGGTGTCAGGGGTCAATGTAGGCAAATATAACATATTCCATACAGGGAGTGTCCGGATCTCGGTACTTCTCTTTCAGCAAAGGTCTGGGTATCGAGAAACGTCTTCGCAAGGTGGTCGAGACGCTTTTGTCTCTCTTCCTTGATGCGGATGCGGATGCTGACGGGGACCGGTGCTGGCAAGGGGATGGAGTTGCGGATGGGCGCAAATGCGATGCGAAACTAGTTGAACAATGAACACCCCCCGGTGCGTCGTTTTATGACAATGGCATACTGTATATTATAAGTATATAATATATATATATATATGGACCCTGCAGCTCCCACAGTTTGGGTGGGCTTTTGAAGTTCATAAGATGGACTTGTGGCTTTTGTTTGTGTGGTTGCCAACCCAGAGCTAGAAGCGATGACAGTGCCCAGAAAACTGGGTGAGTCCCAGATGTGCCGAGACCATTGGCCAGCCATCCATGCACCCATCTCTTTCTCCATAAAGCATGGTCACTGTAGAAGAAGCCCCAAAAGCAGAGATGCGGCCCTTCCCTGACGAGAGGGTGGTGAAGATATCCACCATTTGAAGTCGACTACATCCAGGCCATCCAGGCCAGGCTGTTCTCTTTTGGGATGTGGATTTGCTCCTTAAATGTGGCAGATTCGAGTGGCTCATCAATCTCCACTGGCTCTGCGGCGAGTTGCAGGAGATTTCCATAGCAGAGATGGCCGCTTGCTGCAAGAAGTGCCAGAGCCGGGATCTCGGATCACAGGCAGGAGCTGAACCGTCCAATTCTACGTTTGTCTGGCGAACCGTCCCCTCTCCGAGACTAATGCTTAGTTGGCCTTTGGCTCACTTCCGTATCAGCCACAACTTCGATTTGCATGTAGGAAGCTGCCGAACAGGACCCAAATGGACCAAGCAGCTTTCTAAGGAAGCCCAAGTTGGACACGTAGTAGCTGATGACTCTTTTATCATACCTGTTTGACGCGTCAGAAACACCCAGGGGAGCCCAGCCCTGGCTGCTCCACCGCCTATCCGCCTAAGGCTTCCCACACTTCCCGGGAGCCCGGAAGTGGTGCCGGAGCTCAGCTGAACCCGACTGCACCAGGCGTTGAATGGACTGAGACGGGGTTCCGCGGTGGCCTGCTTCTTTCGGGCAGAACTACTTGGTGTTCGCCGCCTCTGGTCACCGTTGCATGATGCGAAGCATCACCCCCTCGAGACAAAACACTCTCAGAAATAGGTTAACGGTTAATGTAGGTGCAAGATGGTGCAAGATGATCAATGACTTGGCTGCATCACTCAAAATTCAAGAAGCATGGTGTTGAAACTGCAATTTGCAGCAAGACCATCCATGAGGAGGGGAAGAGCCTTCTTTTTGCTTGCATTGTCGGCTTCCGTGCATTGTAGGCAAGCATCTCAAACATCGCATCAGAGCCATTCAGTGCACCTTCATGCACCAGTTGGATGACTTGACTATGAAAAACCATTAACAAGACTACATCTCCATCACACGTGTGTCCATGTTTCAAGCATTTTTGGATGACCTGCCGGCTGCGCGATGGGGTCTGAGGTTGGCTTCGCACCTCAAAAGACAGGTGGACCGGCTGCATGGCGGTCCTGGCTACTTCTGCAGCGATCGAAGAAGTCCGATGCCACCCATATATGACGCACGATGACGATACCAATGGATGGCGGCAGACGTTTTTTCAGGAACGTGTTCCTCAAACTGGAAGACTACGCCGTTTTCTTTTTCTCGGGGGTGGACCCACATAGACATCTCTTCAGATTTGCTGATGGCTGATGGCACCTGTTTTTAAGGACACAATGCACCTCAGAACTCATGGTATATATAGATTGAACCGTGTACACTTATCAAGATCCCAGTCTTTATCCCAGCTGGTGTGGGTCTCAATGTCCTCTCTTAGTCCGGATACTTTGGATGGGGCCAGCTTCTCTCTGACACAACGACACAACTCTTCCTTCTCCGACCAGGCAGTTGCAGCTTTCCATACGGCCACCGTGCACCTGGTCCCTCCACCATCACTCCCAGGGGAATCCACGAAGAGATTCCGCGAAGCCGACGACGGAGGCGGCCACTCCGGCCATCGACCAAACGGGCGTCAACTACTTCGAGTTCGTGAGCGAGCTCGTAGGCCGCCAGCAGCACGACGTCCGGACCCCAGAAAGGATGGGGGATGGTTTGGGTGGTGTGGGGCCCCGAGAGGAATCGGAAGTTGAAGGGTCTTCGGATCTGAATTAGCTTTGGCTTTGGGAGTGGGTGTTTTCCAGAGATAGGCAGCTGTAAGGCCCTTAGGGGCCATTTTCATCCATGTTCCCTTTACTTCCAGAAGGATCAAGGGTGCAATTTTGTTTCCATTCTAGACATCCACAATAAGGATACTGCAATAACTATAACACTGACTGGTAGACGATTACAATATAGCTCCTATTCCCATCTAGAGCTTTTCCGCCATCGTTGCACGTGGATGGTCGCCCTTGATGTGGCATGTGCTCTGGCCGTTCCTGGTGCTGCGCGTGCTGCGCGCTCGCTGCCACTCCCACGGCTCGGGACAGTGGATGGTGGGGCAGAAGCCGGTGCTGCGCGTGAGTGATGCCAACCTGGGCTGGCGGATGCACATGGAGTCGCAGCCGGAAGCCATCAGGCGAAGGGGGTGATGGTGTGTTGGTTGTTGGTTCCAAGAGTGTTCCAGGATGCAGCGGGTTGTTGGTTTACAACGGCAACATGTTGTCCAAGGAGGAGCCCTGAAGGAGACGCAAGAAACGTCATGAGACGCCTGTAGTTTGCCCGGCCATTGGTGCGTGGCTCTGGCAGCGCTATGAATCCGAAGGGGGCTTCAAAACAGGCAGAGGGCCCACCGCCCTCAAGACTTAGGATCGGGTTCCCATGTCGTGCAAGAACCACATGCACAAGGGGTGTACCTTTACAGTATCCATCTAATCCTACCTTGTTGATGGCCACCATCAATTTAAGGCTGTTGAGCTCTCCAGAGTTGCCTTCTTGCAAAAGCCACTGTGGCTCTATGAATGTTGTACTTCTCAGCAATCGCTTGCCAGTCCTAACTGAGCCATCAGGTTTTTTCTGCAGGCGGTGAACAAGTATGTGGGCGACCCCCTCTATCAGGCAGTGGACAGCTGGGGAGGGACTGCCAACCTGTGAGCATCAGCAACGTCCTCCCCTCCATCCTCGCAATCATTGTCCAAGCCAATCGAAAGCTCCGCTGGGCTGCTATGCCTTTTCCACAGAAGGCGAACATGAAGCACTACCTTCAGTATAGAGAAGCCCGTCCAATCGTCCAAATTATACTGCCCCTGCCAAGCACACGCCCCGTCGTCAGGCCAATTCCTGGCTCAATGAACAGGGTGGCAAGGTGCTTTCCGGGCGCGAAGTCAACACAGACTCACAGATTTGTAGGGTTTCTAGAAACCCGTGGTGGACAATGTGTGTCATGTCAACATCACGCGAAAGTGTTGCCGACCAACCACAGATGCCAGAATTTATATTAGGCATTATGAGGCCCTTTCATGCTGAATATGGGCGTGATACCTTGAGCTTAGGGAGCAGAACGGCAATTGCGGGATTTGTTAACATAAATTTACGGCACTCTTAAAAGTCTTTTGGGGCAGGGCACCAAGACACCCTTTTCAGAACAAGAGCTCTCCCTTCAACGAACCCGAGTTGGAAGGTTGGAGGTTTGGGTCGGCGCCCTTGGATCTTTCCCGGGCACCCAAAAATGCGCTGCAAGGCTTTTTCCGTTTGGTCCCCGTCATCTGTGAGGCATGCGTCTACTCCGGCTGCGCCATCTCTTTGGGCCGCGGCTCCTGCGACCGAGCGCAGCTCTTCGACACGCTGGCAAAGGCCCTGGCGATCCTCGCGCGGGCGCAGGCGGGGATGATCCGGTGTGCAAGAGGATTTACGAACGGACCTGTTTAGCAGGTGTTCCAGTAGGTTTTGATGGTCGTGGTCACTATTCATCTAGAGGAAGTTCCAGAGGACTATGGTTTTACTGGTCGTTTGGTACATCTTGGCGACGACGAGAGGAGGGAATCCGTCAACAGGTTGTCCATCACATGGAAGAGCAGCACGGCTGAAGGAAGAAACCGATAGTGCACCAACGTATGCACAGGTCCGGTGCTAAAGGGTTCTTAACTTTGGGTGTGTGAATCACACGATGGGTTGAGACTCCGATGATGCTCTTGGCATCTCTTGGCGCGGAACATGCCATTTTTCCAGCACACCGGACCGGCTGTTGACCAAAGGCAGGGTCTGCATGCTCCCACCCTGTCAGAGCTCGAGAACCGAAAAAGATGAAGCTTCACTGCCCCCGACTCTGGTCGTTGGCCTCCTAGCAGTCCTAGCATGGCCTCGGGTCTTTCTCCAGTCCATGGGCTCCCAACCAATTCCATACTGTACCAGCGGAGCTCAGCTCGGCAGCTTGCTCACCTAAGGAGCTGTTGGAACCAGACTTCCGGGAGGTGCCTTCGACTCATACCCGTGTCCGATCGGAAAGCCAACGGGTGTCAAGCTTGTCCTTCGACTCGTTTTGGAAACCGCTGGAGAGAGCAGTTGTGTCCCAAGCTTTGGGCGTGGAAATCTGCAAGCTCGGCACATGGCTATATTTGGTGGAGATGAGTGTGGTGTTGACCACACACGCAGATATCTAAGTATAAATCATATGTACCTGATATGTGCATATACGGCGCGTACATAGCAATTTCACACACACATTTATAAAGTGAATTGCCAGGCGTTCGGTGTACAGCCCAGGTCTGCCGGCGCCTGGGCGACTTCCATCGGAGCCGGCACCTGGGTTTGGGGGAGCCCCTCACAGTGGCCACGCGCCACGGTGTGCAAGAGTTTGTAGCGCGGATATCATCAGATATCCAGTGGATGGACGGTGTGGTGTGTGATTTTGTTTACTACTATACTAGTAACTAGTACCATCAAAGAGCTTCAAGTGCTAAGACCACTTCTTGTGCTACTTCTCGGTCCCCAGCTTGCTTCCGTCCTTGTGCCACGCGCCCACGTGCTTCAGGACGGCGCTGGGGGCAGCGATCGAGAGCTTGCAACGGATGCATGAGAAGCTCCTGAGCCTGGATGGTGGCCCATGTTTGACAGCTATGGGGCAGGTGGGGCGAAGGGCAGACGCTGGGTCGAGCGGTCGAGCCGCCGCGAAGAGAGCGGTCGGGATTTGGTACCTGAGAATGTCCGACTAGCAATGCAGCCGTGGAGACAGATGTGCCCGTTCAATTTGATTGTTTTCGGCACGTTGCTCGTGCAACTTGAGTTCGATAGATTGGCTGTTCAATACTGTCGATGCTGACTCGTGATGGAGAAGGCCTCCAAGAGATTCACAAGCAGGACGGTCAAACATCTCCGACATGAGAAGATCTTATCACAAAATTGTTAATGCATGTCGGCTGTGTTTCATGTGCTGAAGGCTAGGCCTATTTTTTAAAAGCACTTTTGATTTGTTTTTTTCCTCAGGATGCTTGAGCATTAAATCATTGACATGACGTATGATATATATATATAAAATATATTCATATGATTTATATAATATTACTATCAATGGGAAGATTCTTTTGAATGAAATGCGTCTGTTTCATTGAGCAGATGGGATCCTTCATTGAAACGTGACCACAACGATTTGTGAACGGTCTCCTCCTGTCGGACCAAAGCGCGGAGACCTCTCCTGCTCGGGAGGTCCTCTATACCAACGTGGAGATCTCACGCATTGGCCTGGAGAAGACCTCCCAGATCGATCACCAGGTCACCATCGACGCTTGGATCGGACTTAGCCAGCTGATTTGGCCAGTAGCTGGTTGGCTCTTGAGATCTCTTGAGGTACATAGACCCCACCCAGACATGGAGTGTAAAACCCTCTTCATATTGGTGGCGAAACATAATCAAGAGTATACATTAGCTGGTTTGGCCTCAAAAATTCCTGACCTTAAAGGCCCCGAGTCTTTGTCCGAAGATGTCGTTCATCGGTTCATTCACCATGCTGTTCTCGTGAGAAGCGCCCAAAGTCTGCCCGGAAGCAGGTTCAGGAAGCGAACAGATGGCTCCCCGTGAATACATCTACTAACATCTACTAACATCTAATTATAGGAGTATAACGTTCTCACATGAACTCCCTGACGGTCCATTTTGGATCGGGTTACGGACATGTCCAATTGGGGTATTGGGCTCCCATGCCAATGTTCGAAGTGATTTCTGCAAGCTGAATTTTGATGTAAAGTTCACCGTGTCATTTTATCCAAAGCCAACTTGGCCGGAACAGTTTGGCCTGAAAGATCATGGTATGGCTTGGAACAACTGTTCCAACTCGGATATCATCTTGAACGAGGCGGCCAAGCTTTGGACGTGGGTCCGATGCCATGCCGTGGGTCTTCCACTCCCTGACATCATCATGGAAGACCGTGGATTGGCCCCTTGGAGGACTTTTTTCCTCTACCAAGAGGTGGTGCCATCCACGCTGGCCCATGATGATGTCAGGGAGTGGAGACGACCCACGCGACCCGAGTTCGCACACTACCTGGCCCTGCGGGTGGGCCCGAATGCAGGGACCTGGAGGGCATCGTTTTGCGGGTGGGTTCCAGAGGGTCGATCGGTGGTTTTACTGTATATGGACCCTCACCCACCCCTGCCCCTGGCAGAGGTCTGCATGCTTCTCACCGCAGTCTTCCTGCAGTCCCTTCCGAGCCCCAGCCGCCTCGTTGAGGTAGCGCGAGCTACTCTCCCTGAAATAATAATGGAAAGGTTCTTACTGTAATGGAAAAGCAGCTGGTGCTTAGATCGCTGAAGCGCGCGGCCGTGAACGGCTAATTCGCTGCTATTTACAGTCCTCTCGAAATTTTCGACATTCATTTCGACTGCGCAGGCTCGCTGAATCTGAGTGTCTGCGGCGGGTGCTTCCAACGACTGCACTCTCGTTGTGGTGCCACGCGCATTTTTGCACTGAGAGTGAGAGTGAGAGAGCGAGCTGACAGCACAAAGTGCTTCGCCTGCGCTGAAATCTGCACTTCGAGGTTCACAAAGTACTGCGCCTGCCATGAAATCTGCCTTTTCGAGGTGCACAAAGTGCTGCGCCTGCCACGAAATCTGCACTTAGAGGTTCACAAAGTGCTGTGCCTGCCACGAAATCTGCACTTCGAGGTTCACCAAGTGCTGCACCTGCCACGAAATCTGCACTTCGAGGTTCACAAAATACTGTGCCTGCCTGCCACGAAATCTGCACTTCGAGGTTCACAAAGTGCTGCACCTGCCACGAAAACTGCTTTTCGAAGTAAACCAGCTCCGATCCCTTGCGCCTGTCACGAAAAGTCGACTTTGGAGCACCCAAGCACGAGGTTTCCACTGCGCCTGCCACAAAAAGTGACTGCCATCACACCCACTCGGCACTGGCACCCACATTCACGCTCACACTCACTCACACTCCCATTCACCTTCACACTCACTCTCACTCACACTCACACTCACTCACTCTCACCCTCGCTCACTCTCATTCACACTCACCCTCACACTCTCACACTCAATCTCACTCTCACCCACACTCACCCACCTTCACTCTCACGCACACTCACTCTCACTCTCACTCTCACTCTCACTCTCACACTCACTCACTCACTCACTCACTCACTCACTCACTCACTCACTCACTCTCTCACTCTC